GGGTGACTTTCTAGCTGTGTGACTTGGGGCAAATGACTCAAGCGAATCGAGGTGCCCCCGATGGCACCGAGGAGCACCCTGCTAGGCGGGCGTGCCAACCGGGCAGGCGCACGTAGAGAAGCCAGCTTGGTGCCCGGCATGTAGCTCGGGCACACGCCACCCTAGCCTCGAGATTTTCCTGGGTGGCTGAAGCTATAGAACTTTGGGAGAAGCCGGTGACCTGTTTTGGCTTGGGGACCACACCCAGAGGTGCTTAGGGTTTACTCCTGGCTCTGTGCTCACTTTTGGCGGGCTCAGGGGATGTGCCTGAGATCAAACCCAGTGGCCTGCTTTAGGCAAGTCCTTTTCTTTAGTCTTACCCCTCTGCTCTGAGCATAGGGTTCATCTGAGGGACCCTGGCCCCCGTGGACTGGCTGAGACTCTTCTGGGCCAGGTGAAGGGGGGACTGTAAAAGCCAGACCACCCGGTAGACGTCAGAGCCTGAGGTCTATGGTTACACAATGCTTGCACTAGCGGCTTTGGTAGGGAGAGTCCCTGTTCTTCCTGTTTCTGGGTGCTAGACCTTCGCTTAGCAGGGGTGAGGCTAAGCCCCCAGATTCCAAACCCACCCGGAGCCCTCCTCGGCTAACTGAAGCCCCCACCCCCACCCCCTACGTCACCTCTGGTTCACTCAGCCAGTGATTTGCATGCTCAGCTCTGAGAAGGACAAAGATCGTGCCCAGGGCGGGTGCCGGAGCTCGGGCACACATGTGGGCACACGTTTCCCACGCAGGGCCGGGGTGAGCCGGGGAGAACAGACCACAGCCTTCGCCAGGAGCTGGGTGGGTCCCGCTTTTGGTCAGGGCTGGGCCTGGCTTCTAGGTGACCTGGATTTTCAAAGCCGTCAAGACTGAAAGAGCCTTGTGTGGAAGAGTCTGTGCGGGAGGGGGGACTGGGGGCCCCTAGGTCCCCCCCCCACTGCACAAAGGCTTGAATTTCCCACAGCCTCCCCCAGAGCTGGGTCTTGGCTGAAGGCCCCCTCCCACTTGGGGCTGGGTTAAGGGGGCTTTAGGAGCTGAGCTCTGCCCTCCTTCCTGACCCCCCTGCATGGCTCCCAGCCCCTCTGTCTCAGCACCAGGCTATTTGCAAACAGCTTTGGGAGAACCACCAGTTTTCAGAGTTCCAGAGAAATGGAGAGACGTACCAGGCTCTGAGGCTGCCCCTGGTCTCTGAAGAACTGGGGTGGGTAACAAAGAGGGGGGAGGGGTGGCTGAGGGACTGGAGATCCGTGAGTGGTAGCCTGGGTCCTGGTGAAGACCCATGTGGGGCCCCCGTGAAGGGCGAGGCCGTCACTCGGCCAATCAGTGCTAATCCCATGGGCTGTTTTGAAACACCCTTTAGCACTTTCACCCACTGAAAGAAAGTCACCCTGTCATGCATAAACAACATACCTGGCTCCCAGGGACAAGAAGGGTGGGGAGGGTCCCCGCCTGCAACTGCCCAGTAAGGGACCCCAACTCATATCTGGAGGGCTTGGAATTCCGATTTCCAGGGTCTGTCTGGTCTCCAGACCAGTCCAGCAAGAAGCCGAGGGTGCTCCCATCCCTCCGGGGCTGGGTCCCACCTCCCTTTCGCAGGGTCCCACCCCGAACCCTCACCCGGCCTGGGAGACAGCACGGATTTCTGCCCGGGGGACTGAAAGCTCAGGAGACCCACCAGGGCCTGAGTCAGTGTGGCCACTTGGCCTGTGTGACCTTGGGCAAGTCACTTGACCTTTTTCTTTTCTTTTTTTTTTTTCTTTTTGGGTCACACCCGACGATGCACAGGGGTCACTCCTGACTCTGCTGCACTCAGGAATGACTCCTGGTGGTGCTTGGGGGATATTGGGGGATACTGGGATACTGGAAATCGAACCCGGGCTAGCCACGTGCAAAGGCAAACACCCTCCCCGCTGTATTATCGCTCCAGTCCCATGATTTGACATTTTTCAGCCCCTGTTTCTGCCTTTGCCAAAAGAGGCCTTGCCAGGAGTTGGAGCAAAGACTTTGCATATGTGAGATCCAGGCCTCAAACCTTAGCAGGGGAGAAAAAAAATTTAAAAAGTTGCAAAAAGGACGCCTATCACACCAGGAGATAGCTCGATAGCTTGCAGGGATAGAGCACATGATTTCCATGTGGGAGCCTCCCGGTGTCAGCCCTGCCGGTCCCCCACCCCCCCAAATCAGTGCAAAGAGATAAAGCCTGACACCGCAGTCTGGCACAGAGGGCCCCGCAGGCAGCCCTCGGCTCTTTAAGTGCTTCCTAGGAAACTCTGGGCCGGTCTTGCTGTTTGAGATCTGTGCACCCTCGGGCCCCCACTGGGGAACAAGTGGCCGGCGATGGGGTGGGTAGGAGCCTGAGAGGAGGGACCCACCCTAGGTATTGTCGGTTTGCGCAACCACCAGCCTTCCTGCCCAGCTGCCAGAGCAAAGCCACAGGCACGGGCCGAGTGCGGGGGCTGGAATTCCAGCAGCTCCCGATTCCCCAGGCATGAAGTCATTCCTCACCGGGCCTTAACCCCTTCTGGCTCCCACCCCCACGGCCCCTGCCACTGCCGCCTTCTCCCCCATCCCGCTGCTGACCCTGATCCCTTCCAGGAACTTGCCCTCTGTCCTCTGGGGGTGGACTGGGCACGGCAGCCGGGTTCCACCAGCCTCTCCCCGGAAGTCAGAGGGAGTGGGAACGGGAAAAGCGGGCGTGGATGTTAGAGCCCACGGAGGAGGTGGGAGGGAGAGGATGGGGGATGGGTCACACTTCCTTCTCTGGCTCTCCCTCCCTCCACTGGACATGTCTGGGGTGAAGGTACAGCCTGGTCTCCCGGGGACCTGGCCCCTGTCCACTGTGACCTGTGCCATCCCTGCCCTGATCTGGGGCTCAGATTCTAAGAAACGGCCTCTTGAGCCCTGATGATTCTGAGCAGCGCCCCCAGGACACCTCCTGCCATCCAGGGTGTGGGGGGAGTGGAAGATGACTTGTCTTCCTGGAAACAGGCGAGTGACTGTCATCAAGGCCTGATACTTCTGGCATAGTAGGACCGTAAGATACTGAACTTCATCCAGCACTGCTGTTCTAGGTGCAGACAGACAGACAGACTGATGGGTTGTTGTGCAGATGCCACCTGCTCTTTAGAAGGGGCCTAGTTTTCCACTTGGATGAGTTCTGGGGAATGTAGAAGAGGAACCCGTGTACTCACAGCGAGACCATGAGGGTGCTCTCTGGCCTCCCTGGACCGTGAATACTTAAAAAAAAAAAAAACTCCGTAGGGGAGCTGGACCGATAGCATAGTGGGTAGGGCATTTGCTTTGCACCTGGCCGACCCAAGTTTGATTCCCAGCATCCCATATGGTCCCCCAAGCACTGCCAGGAGTGATTCCTGAGTGCAGAGTCAGGAGAAACCCCTGAGAATCGCTGGGTGTGACTCAAAAAGCAAAAAGCAAAAAAGCAAAAAAAGCAAAAAAAAAAAAACAAACCACCAATTCCATAGGGAGGCACCTGAAAGAGACTAGTTGACAGGGCTGGAACGCATGCGGGAGGCCTGGATTTACCCCCAGTACCTGATGGTGCCCCAGGCTCTGCTGGGAGTGACTCGCAAGCACTGAGCCAGGAGTCGCCTCTGAGCACTGCTGAATGTGTCCCAGAAACCCAAACAACAACAACAAAAGAATCAGCTGTGAACTGGCCAGGGTACCTCACTGGTGTCGGCAGCGGGAACCATCTGCAGAGAGGTTCCAAGGGAGAACACAGCGCCTTGCTTCTGGACTCTTGAGTCACTGGCCCGGGGCTGTCCTGAGGTGTGGGCGCGCCAGGCCTGCCTGACCCAGCCCAGTCTGACTCAGCTGGGAAAGGTGTCCCGGCTGGGCTAGCCCAGAGCCCAGGCCGCGCCCCGCCAGCCAGGGTGAATCAGCTACTTGCGCCCACAGTCTCAAAGATAGGCCCCACTCTGTCCTGCCACTGGGGACACCACAGGACAATGACTTTGTGTCTTTCATGCCCAGCATCCCCGGTGGGAAGCGGAATTAGAGGCTTGTCTCATTACCGAGAACTGGCCTTAGTCATGGGCCCTTCGAATCACTGATGTTCAGGTTATTATCACCTTGGTTTTCATTTTTGATTTTTTTTTTGTATTTGGGGCTATAATCTGCTCTGTGTGCAGGGGTCCCTCCTAGCAGTGTTCGGAGAACCAGGTGATGCTGGGGACTAAACCCCGTCCTCCAGCATGCCAAGTCAGCCCTCTGCCCACTGAACCAACCATCTCTCTGGCTTCTCACCTTTATTGCTTTAACTTTATTTTTCATTTTTGATCTGGGGGAGGTACACATGATAGCCAGCAGTGCTCAGGGCCTGTTCTAGCTGTGTTCAGAAGGAACCCCAGATGGTGTTCAGGAATTTGAACCAGGGTCACAGTTGACCTGGCCACATGCCAGGCAAGTGTTTCACTTCCAGTATTTTCTCTCCAGCCCACACCTTTATTGTTAATTAGCCCAGAAGGGGATGGAGACCGATCTCGGGAGGATGGGGAAGCCAGAACTTCAGCCCTGGTGCCATCTCTTCTAGCACCTTCCTGCGCACTCCCTTTACTCTTTTTTTTTTTTTTTTATTATTTTATTGAATCACCATGAGATAGTTACAAGCTTTTATGTTTGGGTTACAATCACACAATGATCATACACCCATCCCACCACCAGTGCACATTCCCCACCACTAATATACCCGGTATATCCCCCCCTTTCTCACCCTCCCCCTGCCTCCATGGCAGACATTATTCCCCATAATCTCTCTCTACTTTGGGATACTTATGGTTTGCAATACAGACACTGAGAGGTTATCATGTTTGGTCCTTTATCTACTTTCTGCACACATCTCCCATCCCGACCAATTCCTCCAGCCATCATTTTCTTAGTGATTCCTTCTCTGTGCATTCTCTTTACTCTTTGGGGACTCTGGGATACAGTTGATGGATGTGTGTCCATTTCTCATCCTAGATCCGAGAGACCGAAGTCATCAATCCGAAAGATCTAGAAGAACAATACTATTCTGGAGATCTCCCGGATGATGAGGACGTGGGGCTGCCCGGGCAGGGATCGGACGACTTTGAACTGTCTGGCTCTGGAGATCTGGGTACGGAATGTGGCCTCTCCGAGGAGGGCGATCTTGGCTGGAGTCTTGGGTTTTTGTGGGGATTTTCCTCCTCCAGGGAAGGCAAAGTAACCAGATCCCTTTCATCCCTGGTTGTTTGTTTCTTGCATTTGTTTGTAGCTCTGCTTTTCCTAGCACCAGCCTGAACCTGCCCACCTTTGGCGCAGGGCCCCCGGGGGTGGGGAGGAATGACGGAAGCACCAGCCTGGGGCCCTGCGTGGGCAGAGGTGTGGGTGGAAGAGCAAGAACCAACCCCTGTTTCCCAGGGGTGGGAGTAGGTGAAGGGGCCTTCTGGGGTACTCCTGCACCTGGCTGGACCAATAGGACTGAGCCCCAGGAAGTATCCCTCCTGCGTGCAGGATTGGAGGAGCCATTTTTTAAAAAAGTTTTACTTTTTAATTTTTATTAGTGAAACACCATGAGGTACAGTTGTATAGACTTACAAACTTTTGTGCTTGAGGTTCAATTATACAATGATCGAGTACCCATCCCTCCACCAGTGCCCATTCTCCACCACCACTAATTCTAGTATCCCTCACACCCCCCAATCCCCCAATCCCACCCTGCCTTTGTGGCAGGGCACTCCCTTTTGTTCTCTCTCTCCTTTTGGGTGCTGTGGTTTGCAAAAGAGACACTGAGTGGCAATCATGTTCGGTCTATAGTCTACTTTCAGCATGTATCTCCCATCCTGGGCGGATCCTCCCAACACTCTTTATTTGGTGCTCCCTTATCTATCTGAGCTGCCTTTTCCCCTAGCGTCTGCGACTGGCCTTGGAGGAGCCATTTGAATTGGAGCCTGGGAGTCATCTATCCTATCTGAGTTCTTTTTTTTTTTCATTTTCATTTTATTTATTTTTTATATTTTGGGTCATACCCAGCAATGCTCAGGGGTTACTCCTGGCTCATGCACTCAGGAATTACTCCTGGCAGTGCTCGGGGGACCATATGGGATGCTGGGAATCAAACCCAGGTTGGCTACGTGCAAGGCTATTGCTCCAGCCCCTGACCCATCCAAGTTCTGACAGCTGCCTTTGGAGCTCCAAGCCTTGGTTTCCTTGTCTGTATGATGGGGTGCAGCTGCTGTGGTGTTTGGGGGTGGGGCTGAATTGCCTCGGTGGACACCTCGAGATCTCAGCCCATCCTTGCCCCATTCTAATGGAATGTTATAATCTGACGTCTGGTCTCAAAAAGAATCCTTTGGAAGACTCCTAACTGCAGATCCTGATGGGGGCTGGGGCTGAGTGATATTCTGCTTTGTCCTGGGTACTGCCCATCATCCCTGGGACCACACCCCTTTCCGAGCGAGGGTTTTGCAGCTAGAAGCTTCACATTGCTCAGAAGAACCAGGAGGCAGGGGCTAGGAGGTCCCTTCAGAGAGGATGTAATGGAGGCTGTTCTGGGCACTTGTGCCCAAGGAACATTTGCAGGCTAGCTGTGAACTGGCATTCACTCCGGGCTTGGCTAAAGAGGGCCTGGGACTACGCCTCGATCTCGCTCTCACTCACTCAGCCTTTCTGATCTCACAGATGACTCAGAGGACCCCCATTACATCCCGGAAATACTCCACCCGTTGGTGAGTAGCCCTGAGCTATGGCCTCTCTCCTCAGCCCCTGCCACAGAGGATGTATCTCCTCCACTTGTAGATCCACGCAGGGCTCAGTCTGGCCTGAGCCTCCGTGCTCTGCATGGAGGGGCATTTCCCATCACAATTACCGAATGATACACAGTTGCAGAGAATACTTCTTTGGTTTCATTTTGTTTCTATGTGGGGGGGTGGGGGGGGTGGCGACACCTAGCAGTGCTCGAGGTGTACTCCGGGCTCTGTGTTCAGGGATCACTCCTGTCAGGGAGCCGGGGACAGAACCTCATGCAAGGCTAGTGCCCTGCCCGCTGCTCTATCTCTCTAGAGATAATCCAAGAAAGAGACTGTGTTTTTCTTGTCAAATGATCGTCTTTCCCCACATGGGGAAATGCTTCCTCTTCTATTTTTTGGTTTTGTTGGTTTCTCAGGCTCTCCCTGGGGTGGGACCACACTGGAACGCAGATTCCTTTCACTTTGATAGCCACCTGTACTATGTCACCATTCATCCAATAGGCCGTATTGATGGAGACTCTCCTTCTGAGCGTTTGCTTCAGAGCCGTGTTTCCTTCTTTCTTTTTTGGGGGGGGGAGGGGGGGTCACACCCAGCAATGCAGAGGGGTTACTCCTGGCTCTGCACTCAGGAGTTACTCCTGGCAGTGCTCAGAGGATCATATGGGATGCTGGGAATCGAACCTGGGTCGGTAGCGTGCAAGGCAAACACCCTACCTGCTATGCTATCTCTCCAGCCCTCAGAGCTGTGTTTCTTAACCCTTCCCACTCTACTCACCTGAGAAGCACAGTTGGGTCAAGCGATGCAGATCCACCCCATTTCTCTCTTTCTCTTTTTCTTTTTGGGTCACACCCGGCAATGCACAGGTACTACTCCTGGCTCATGTACTCAGGAATTACTCCTGGCGGTCCTCGGGGGACCATATAGGGTGCTGGGAATCAACCCTGGTTGTCCGCGTGCAAGACAAACTCCCTACCCGCTGTGCTATCGCTCCAGCCCAACACCCTGTTGATTTGGAATGAGTTTTGGGTCATTAGTCTTAGGTCACTCCAAAACCTTTTAACCCTTGCTAATTCTTTTGTGACCTCCCCCCAATCACCCCCCCCCCCATGGGTTATAACCCAGCAGTTTAGGAAACTACTTGACTCTGGGGTTAGAGTGATAGTTACAGCAGGTAGGATGCTTGCCTCGCACACCCAGGTTTGATCCCCGGTCCCCTAGTAAGCGCCCCCACCCCAAGCCCACCAGGAGTGACCCCTGAGCATAGAACAAGAGACCAAGAGACTGAGGTTGTCATTAGTACTTGAGCACTGTCGGGTATGGCCCCCAAAATTAAAAATTAGAAACTCGGCTGGTAAGGGCCCATCCGCTTTCCTGGATCCTGGCCATGGACCTCCTTCCCGTTGGGGACAGAATTGCTGGGGCGGGCGGACTTGACGGGCTGGTTGTGGAGCGGCTGTGGGTGGCTGTGCGGGCCCTCGGGGCCCAGCTTGGAGGATGTCCCTTCCCCGCTGAGACCTGGCTCTTCTCTTTCACGCCCACCCAGGTGCCACTAGATAACCACATTCCTGAGAGGACGGACCCCGGGAACCGGGCTCCCACTGAGCACGATCTGCTGGAGGAGAACGAGGTCATCCCCAAGAGGATGGCGCCCTTCGACAATGACGACGATGTGTCCAACAGGGTGTCCATGTCCAGCACAGTCCAGGGCAGCAGCATCTTTGAAAGGACAGAGGTCCTGGCAGGTAGGATGCGATCTGGAGCCGGGCAGGGCTGGGGAGGGACTCACTGCGGACAGGAGCGGCCTAGACTGTTTCCCCAAAGCAAGTGGGGGTGTGGGGGCAGGAGTAGCCTCTGGGGCCTCGGGGGGCCTAAAGAAAGGTGGGTTTTTGGGGGTCGGGAAGCTTGGTGGTTTGGTTTTTTTTTCTTTTCCTGAAAAGGGGGGCAGTAGGCCAAAGAAGTTTTGGGGTTGTTGGGGAGCCCGGTAAGTGTCTTTGGGGCTCTTGGGCAGTGAAGGGCTAGCCCTCCTCCAAGCAAGGCGTATGTGTGTGTATATGAGTGAGCAAGTGTGTGTATGAGTGTGAGTGTGTATGAGTATGTGTATGTTGAATGTATGTGTGTATGTGTGTGTGTGTGTACGTGTGAATTGTGTGTATGTATGTGTGAGTGGTGTGCATGAATGTGTGAGTGTGTGTATGAATGTGTATATATGAGTGAGTATGAATGTGTGTGTATGGTGTATGTATGAATGTGTGAGTGTATATGAGTCAGAGTGTTTGTGTGTATGAGTGAAGGGCTATGAATATGTGTGTGAGTCAGTGTGTGTGTATGTGTGTTGAATGAGTGTGCGTATGTGAGTCTGTATATATGAATGTGTGTGTCTTATGAGTCAGTGTGTATGAGTGTGTATGAGTGTGTGTATGTTATGAATGTGTGAGTGTGTGTACGTGACTGAATGTGTATGTATGAATGAGTGTGTGTGAATGTGTGAGTATGTATATGTGAGTGTGTGTGTATAAATGAGTGTGTATAAGTCAGTGTGTATGTATGAATGTGTATAAGGTTTGTGTGTGTGTATGAATGTGTATGTGAGTGTGTATGTATGAATGCATGAGTGTGTGCATGTGAGAGTGTGTATGAGTGAGTGTGTTTGTATGCATGAGTGAGGGAGGGTGTGTGTGTGGGGGGTGTGCGTGTGCCAGGGTCAGGGCGGGAACTTGCACATGGCAGTCCCTCTCTTCTGCTTTTCCTGTTTTGGGGGCCACATCTGGTGCTGGGGTGTGGGTGGGCCGCTCCCAGGCTCTAGGGGGACTTCACAGGGCTAGGAATGGAACTAGGCCTCCTGCACAGCTCCAGCCCCCCCCCTTTTTTTTTTTTTTTTTTTTTGCTTTTTGGGTCACACCTGGAGATGCACAAGGGTTACTCCTGGTTCTGCACTCAGGAGTTACTCCTAGCGGTACTCAGGGGACCATATGGAATGCTGGGAATCGAACTCGGGTCGGCCGCGTGCAAGGCAAATGCCCTACCTGCTCTGCTATCTCTCCAGCCCCAATGGCTCCAGCCCTTTGATCCTTATTCTCAAAGCCCATTTCCATCCCGTTTTGGCCCCAGGAGTTATTATTTTTTGAGAGTTTTGCCAAACCCAAAAGCTCTTGGGGGTTGGCAGCTTCCCTTGCCCTGACTCCCATACCCGCATGACCGTGGCTGAGAAGTTACCAGTGTTAGCTGAGCCTCAGTTTCCTCCTGTCCATGGATGCGGTGCTGCCACCACACGCCATGGTGGCTGTGACCGGGCAGGGCTGTTCTGGCTGCTCCTGTCATCTCCCCTGGGCTCTCCATGACAGCCACGCAGGGAACCGCCCTGTGGCCAAAGGGGAACTGAGCTGTGAGGCAGAGGCTGAGAACCATGTAGTGTGAGATGGCAGCTGTCGTGGGATAGACCTATCCCTGTGGGGGCTTCCTGGTGGCTCTGTCAAGCCAAACCCTACCGCTGGGGTGATGCCTGTCCCATGCCCTGGCAGCTGTGGGCTATGGGTGAGGTCCAGCGAGGGGCCTTTTTGGATTGAGTCCCCGCTGGATGGGAATTTCAGGCTGTGGCTAGTCCAGGACCTCTGTCCAGCAGCCTGATCGGTGGACCCTGGGCATAGCCAGGGTCAGTCCTGTCTGCAGGATGTAGCTGGGTCAGCAGCTCCTATAAGTGCAAGGAGAAAGTTCAGGTGTCCCCCTCCCTGCACCCATGCAAAGGACTGGCCTCACCCTGCACTAAACTCCAGTGACTTGGGGTCCTCTTAGCCCAGACCCAGGGCTTCCTGTCTCCTCAGTCAGGGAACTTGGTGTTTCTTCTTTTGGTTTCCAGGTGATGTTGGATTTAGAGGGCCCTCGATAGCACAGTGGGTAGGGCGTTTGCCTTGCACTCAGCTGACCCAGGTTCGATTCCTTTGTCCCTCTCGGAGAGCCACACAGGCTACCGAGAGTTTCCCGCCCACATGGCAGAGCCTGGCAAGCTCCCCGTGGCATATTCAGTATGCCAAAAACAGTAACAAGTCTTACAATGGAAACTTTACTGGTGCCCGCTTGAGCAAATAGATGAACAATGGGAGGACAGTGCTACAGTACACTAGAGAACTCTGAGTCTTTATTTTTTGAATTTTTTTTAACGTAGGAGTACTTTCATTTATTCAGCCATTGATTCGGACCCCTGAGTCTTTAGGCTTAGCCCTCCCACCACCTTTCTCCAACCACAAGAGTTTCACATTCGGCTTTTACCCATGAAAGGCTCCACTGCTCTCCAAGAAAAGCTGAAGGCTTCCGGTGCCAGCAGCTGTCTCTGGGGCAGTGTCTGCCCCAGACCGCCCTGTGTAGGGGCGTTTATAAAGCACTCTTTTGCCAGGCCCGACTCGGGTGCCACGAATGCAGACTGCAACGACAAAGGCTTCCATTAATGAGTGTTGAGCACCCGCTCTCAGCGGGTCTAAGGGGATGCATTTATTTAGTCCTCAGGCCGAGCAGAGCAGAACGATGCTGTTCTTTTCATTCTGCAAGGAGAGAGAGAGAGAGAAAGGAACTTGCTAAGTATCATACAACCTTTCAGTGTGTCTCGAGAGAGGGCTAGAGAGAGCAGGACTTGGCCGCTGAGCTCTATATAGTGTTGTGCCCGAGTTTCAGATCCCCAATTGTGAAGAGACCAAGTCCACACATGATAATGCCAAAGCCAAGGAACTTTATTCCTAGTCCGAGCCAGCGCTAGCTCGAGCGAGGGTCCAAGTCTCATCCAATGCAGTGGAGTCTTGACAAGGACCTTGACTCCAAACCACAAGCGGTTTATATAGGGTTCAGAGTTAAGAAGCAATCTATTTTTAGCATGGCCCTATTAGGCAGTGGTTAGTAACAGTTTCTAAGGAGGGTGCAGTGACCCTTCATGACCGGCCAGAACACAACTGCCCAATTCCTTATCTTGGCAAATTACTCAACTGGGAGTCTACCAGAAACTGCACAAGTCCTGCTCTGAGAAAACAGAAACTGAGACCTAGTTGAGACTTAATGTTAGCTGCAGTCTCTCATAGCTGCTGAGAAGTCTGCTTTGGGGCCTCACAATCCCCCCTTTTCTTTTTTTTTTAAAAATTTTTTTCTTTTTTTTTTCTTTTAACTATAAGAATAATCATACTTTGCATGTTAAGTTCTATGGACTGTGGATTCCTGGCCAACGCAGTGTATTGCTGCCTTAAAACCAGAGGCTGTAAGTCTACAACTGTACCTCATGGTGTCTCACTAATAAAAATTAAAAAGGAAAAAAAAAACAGAGGCTGGGGGCTGGAGTGATAGCACAGCAGGTAGGGCGTTTGTCTTGCACGCAGCCAATCTGGGTTTGATTCCCAGCATCCCTTATGGTCCCCTGAGAACCACCAGGAGTGATTCCTGAGTGCAGAGCCAGGAGTAGCCCCTGTGCAATACAAACTGGGTGTGACCCAAAAGGACAAAAAAAAAAGGAAACAAAAAAAAAAACCCCAGAGGCTGTACTGTATTTAGTAGGAGCAGAACATGTGAGCTGATCTGTCACATGGTCTGTGCCCTCAGGCGCGGCTCTGTTTAGCAGTGCAACCTGTACTCACTTAGGATGCATGCACCTGTTTCGAGGTGCAGGTATGGGGGCCAGAGAGATGGCTCAGGGGTTAGAGACCGTGCATGGGCAGGGACCTGAGTTGGATCTCCAGGACCATGTGGCCCTCTGCGCACTACCCAGCACGGCCCTGCTGGTTATGTGTTAGATGGCGTGGCTCAGCCACTTCCTCTCGAAAGCTGCAGAAAACCAGCTGGGGGGCTTCACTGGACTCAAAGCTGAGGCCAGGGAGAAGGTGATTCCTAGCACCACTGAGCCCGCATAGCATCACGCTGCCAGGCCCTTTGGTCAAGGGTCTGCAGGAGCGACCCTGGGACCTGTGAGCTCTGGGAAGTGTGTCACGGGAGATGCTCCAAATCCCCACGCATTTGGCATGGCGGAGCTTGGCTGGGGTTTGTGGAGCCTGGCTTTGGCAGCACGCAAAGGCAGGTGGACACGTTGGCTTTGCCTTTGCAGTCCTGTGACCGCCAGGCCCCTTCCTCGTGAACGGGGGGCGTGAGTGTGACCGCGGGAGTGCCCGAGGCTCCCGCAGCCGCCCTCACGCCCGGCCCTTCCCCCCTGCAGCTCTCATTGTGGGTGGCGTCGTGGGCACGCTCTTTGCCGTGTTCCTGGTGCTGCTGCTGGTCTACCGCATGAAGAAGAAGGACGAGGGCAGCTACGACCTGGGCAAGAAGCCCATCTACAAAAAAGCACCCACCCATGAGTTCTACGCCTGAAGCTCCCAGGACCAGCAGCTCGGACTTCCGGGGGGGAGGGAAGTAGAGGATTTTGCAGGGTGGAATGAGGGGTGGGAGAGGGCATCCCAGGACTGACCTGTGGGCACCTCCAGCCCCGGCCCGGTGCCTCGGTCAGAAGAGAGAACTTCTGTCTTGCCTGCCTCTGTCTTCCTTCTCTGGGCCTCGATTTTCCTGGCAGAAAAATGGGGGGGAACCTGGGCCTCGCTGGAGCCTGGGGAGGGAGCATTTCTTAACCTTCTAGCTGAGATGGCAGCTCAGTGGGAGCCAGCCTCACCCAGGACCCCCTGGGCTGTTGTGTGCCTACTGCTGGAGGGAGGGGGGCCCCACCCACCCCCCATCCCCTGACCTTTCTCAGACCCTCTAGAAACAGGCGGGAAAGGAAGTGATCGTCTGTGATCGCACAGGTGCCTGCAAACATGGAGAGTCTCTGAGGCCTTCTGGGTCCTTCTGGACCCTTCCAGATCAGACTTTTTTCTGGTAGGGAGAGGGCAGGCAGGAAGGCAGGGGCAGGGGGAGGGGCTGCAAGTTCGTGCTAGAATGGATTCGTGGCCTCTTTGTAAATCTCTTTTTAACGGGGTATTTTTTGTAATGGAATCATTCCTTCAGGGTGAGAGCACGTGCCCGCCCCGTCTCTTGCCCCTTTCTGTGGAGCTTGCTCTGTTTGTATTTAATGGTGTTTTCTGGTTTTGTTTCTTGAGAAATGAGAAGAGAGCCGGAGAGATGATTTTTATTAATTTTTTTAAAAAACTATTTATAGCTTCAGACAGGGTTGCTCATTCCCTCTTTTTGCTTTGAATTTTCTCCCCCCCCCTTTTTTTTGGTTTGTTTGTTTTTTACACTTCACACCCTCCTGCCCTTGACCTTGGCCCTTCCAGAAGCTGCTTCCTCTGAAAAATAGCTTTGGCTGAAACCTAGTTTTCTAGCAGATTCTCCAAATGTCATGTAGAGGATGGTGAGCTAGTGGGATATCCATGTCTCTTTTAATATATTATTATTCTTCCTTGGTTCTAGGCAAATAGATCAATATATATATATATTTTTTTTTTTTCCTTCGAGAAATAGTGTGGTATATCCCCAGCTGGAAGGTGGCTGGAGTGTTGAGCGAGTGAAATTTTGCATGGTTGAGTGGACGCCGACCTTTTTTGTCTTGCCCTGTTCCTGGTGTCTGGTCCCCACTGGCTCTGAGCGCCTGGGGAAGTCCCATCTTCCTTCTCCCTGGCCTTGCTTTGAGCCCAGTGAAGCCCTCCCACTGGCTTTCTCCAGGTTTCGGGAGGAAGTGGCTGAGCCATGCCATCCAACACATAACCACTAGGCTCGTGACTCTCCAAACCGATTAAAAGGGCATCCCTTAAAGCAATGCATTTCTCTGTTCACTAACCCCTGCCTGCCTAGTGATGACCTCGAGGGCCAGTGACCTTTGCCATCCCGTGGCCTGCACTGTTTGGAACAAAACTGGTTAGTCAAGTCCCACCTCCAGCCTGGTGACCTTTGTCTTCCAGGGCAAAGGTGGAGGGTGTGTGCAGGGTGAGAGTGGGGGACACGGGGCGGGGGGTGGGGTGGCCCATCAGGTCCCAGCACTGAGCCTGTTATCTCTCACCTCCCTCTCCAGAGGGGAGAGGCCTGACATGCCTTCTTCCCCGCTGGCTGGTGGGGTGGGGGTGCGGGATCACCCTTCACCACCTCGCCCTGGGGGCCCAGCAGGCTGGGTCCTGTGCCTGCGTCCTTAACTCCGGCTGTGTCGGCAGTGAAAGCTTTTTCTGTAGTAGCCACCTCACGCTCTTGTCTGTTACTGATTTTTGATAAAAAGATAATAAACCGGTACTTTCTAGATCACTGCCTCTGTTATGTTCTTCCTTTTTTTTTTCTTCTCTTTTGGGGAAACCCGGGTGCTGGGAATCAGACCCTGACTTCCCACACGCTTTGTCTGGACTGCAGTCCTCTGAGTCCTCTGGCCCTGCCTCAGTCGCTTTCAACTTTAGAAGAAAACATAGTGTGGCTGGAGCGATAGCACAGCGGGGAGGGTGTTTGCCTTGCTCGCGGCTGACCTGGGTTCGACTCCCAGTATCCCATATGGTACCCTGAGCAACGCCAGGGGTGACCCAAAAAGCAAAAAAAAAAAAAAAAAAAAGAAGAAGGAGAAGGAGAAGAAGAAAAGAAAACATTGTATCTAGGCTCCAGACTGGGTCCTGGGTTTGGGTTCTGCACTTCTCCAGTACACCTGGGGATATCCTGTCTCCAGGGCAGTGATGCCTGGAGTGCAGGGAGAAGAAAGGGGCCCAGCTCGGCCCATGACTGGCGTTGCACCTGCCTTGTTGTTTGAAAACACACAGGGAGCTTTGCCCTCAGGGATGGGCTCAGAGGCTCAGAGGTCGAGCGCGCAAGGCCTTGGTTTCTGCCAACAGGAAACAGCACCAGAAAACCCCCAACGTCTCAGATTTGTTGCTATGGAAATCATGAAACCCCAGATTTTCACCTGGGAGCTCGTTGCCAATGGGTGGAGGTCACTTAGTCATGGCTCTTTTTTTTCCCCCCTTTTTGGGTAACGGCAATGCACTCTTGGCTCATGAACTCAGAAATTACTCCTGGTGGTACAGGGGGGACCGTATGGGATGCTGGGGATCGAACCCGGGTAGGCCGCATGCAAGACAAACACCCTACCAGCCAGCTGTTTTTTTTTTTTTTTTTTTTAGTTCACAAGTTTATTATGAAAAACACTGCAGTGCTCTTGTGCAGTAACATTGTCTTACGGGTGGGGGGCAGGGGGAGGGGAACAGTTCTGTTCAACTCACCAGGTCCTGACAATAACAAAGAACAACACGAGGCTGAGATTTAAAAAGGGAAATTATTTTTTTCTTTTTGGGTCACACCCGGCAATGCACAGGGGTTACTCCTGGCTCATCAACTCAGAAACTACTCCTGGCAGTACTCGGGGAACCATATGGGAACCATATGGGATGCTGGGAATCGAACACGGGTTGGCCACGTACAAGGCAAATGCCCTCCCCACTGTGCTATCGCTCCAGTCCCCCCCCCCCCCCTTTACAAACAAACAAACTTTTAATGGTTTGAGGATCAAATTCAGGGTTTCACACACAAGAGGGGCAGGCCATTCCCGTGCCTCATCACCCCAGGCCCTGACTGGGGTTTGTCTGCTCAGGCTCTGGTTGGTGCCTTTGACCCTACTAAGCACCTAGGAGACGTGATGATTCTTCTCAGCGAGGGGCAACCTGCCCTTAGCTGTGCCAGGTCCTTCTCTGGGCATCTTCCCTGGGCCTGCATTGCCTAGTGCCTAGCTGGGTGTGGGGACGATGCAAAGGGGGGCTTTGCCATGGCAACCAACCTGTGCCAGGAGCTCCTTGCACACCTGTCTTCCTGGCGGGAAAAGCCGCAGCCCAGAGGGGCACTAACTTGCTTGGAGCCCAATAGTTTGCTACCACGGCAGGTTCATGACCAGCCCCCTCCTGCTACAGCAGGCTGCTGCCCCGAGGACCCTTCCTTGGGGCACTTGGGCCCAGGGATCCCTCCCAAGGCCCCGCCACTAGCTTTCCAGAGTTTCCTGAGGCTTGCGTGCATCTCTGTTCCTTGTAGCGTGCAGAAGTCCCATCTGTCTGCTCCTTTGCAGTGCCCAAGTGGGTGTCACCAGCTTCTGTGGCTGGAGAATTCAGATTTATCCCAATGGATACGACCCAGATTTGCTTCTTTAGTGGCATCAGGAAACTTTCAAGAGCTTTTAGTGGCCACTTGGCTGGGGACCATCAAGTGGTTAAACAGGAAACATATCCACAGCTAGAGAAATTTTCTGGTATTTGGGCCATGTCCATCAATGCTCAGGGCTTACTCCTGGCTCTGCACTCAGGAATTACTCCTGGTGCTGCTTGGGGATCATCTGGGTTGCTGCGGATCGAACCCCGGTTGGCTGCGTGCAAGGCAAGTGCCCTACTTGCTGTGCTATTGCTCTGGCCCCTAGCAACATTTTGGAAGAGCTATGCAGGGTAGTCAGGCAGTCGGAGCCCCAGGATGTGGAATTTGGCTTTTGACCTGGTGCTCCAGCAGCCTCCAAGGAGAGGGGGGCAGAGGCCAGCATGCAGCAAATATCAATCGATGGCCCCTTTTCTTAGGGCCTGCCCTCTCTGCTTTAGAATTCCTGCCTTGCAAGCATCAGGTCTCAAGTTCAATCCCCAGTGCCACCACATGTGGGGAAAGATCCTGACAGCGCTGCTCTGTGGTGCTCAGCACACTCAGGCGTGTGTGAACTCACAACTGGACGGTATGATCGGCTGAGCACCACAGCTGGAAGGCTCACAGGCCACCCCCTCCCCTAACCTTCAGCAGGAAGTGAGGTCAGCAGGTGTGTGGGGGCCCTAGAACCAGAGGCATAAGAGCACCACGAAGGAAGAGCACAACCCTGGGGGTCCAGGACAGGGGGCTGGGGCAGTGGATCAGAGTGCAGGTATCTCCTGTGGGAGCCACAGGTCCCATTCCCAGCCCCATGTGGTGTTTTTTTTGTTTGTTTGTTTTTGTTTTCTTTTTGAGTCACACCTGGTGATGCTCAGGGGTTACTCCTGGCTTATGAACTCAGGAATTACTCCTGGAGGTGCTTGGGGGACCATATGGGGTGCTGGGAATCGAACCCAAGTCAGCCATATGCAAGGCAAACGCCTTCCTCGCTATGCTATCGCTCCAGCCCCAGTCCCATGTGGTTTGCCGAGCACCGTCAGGTGCGACTCTGGGGACATCGGACACCACAGAGCCTGAGTCCCGAATTGAGCTCCTAAGTCTCACTGGCAGTGGCGATCCTTAACCTCCCAAGCCTCACGGGGGACCCTCCCCCCAAAAAAAACCCCCATCATTTGTGGATGTTCAGCTTCATGTGGGAAGTTGGCAACCCTAACTCCCATTTGGGGGTCTCTGAGGCAGTACTCAGGAGAGCTCGGGGCTACTCCCAGCAGTCCTCAGCCTGGCTTGGGTCTGGCTTTATTCCCTGCTCAGGCCCATGGATACTTATTTTGGGGGCCAACAGGTCCACCCCAACAATGGGCCATGCCAGGATCACAGCCGGGCCTCTCCCCTGCCCAGCAGTTGGTTCTTAAATTGGCAAAAATCGGGATGAGCCTGGCTGAGCCAGACTCGATCGGTTGAGAGTTCTGTCAAAGAGCCCCTGGGACCTTGGTGATAAGAAAGAACCGCTCTCCTGCAGACTGAAGATGCAGAGCAGCTCAGCTCCTGGGGACTGTGTCTCCGAGGGGCTGCAGCCCAGGCACCTGGGGACTTGTCCCGGAAAGTTGTGACTGGCCGATGGGCAACTCGTCCTTGCCACCATGAAGCCCCGTGTGGGGCAGCGCCAATGGCTGGCAGCAGTCCAGCAGAAAGTGATACCTGGAGGTCATGCATGCCTTCCTTTAGGGTGTGGGAACGAGCTTTACATAGGTGACACCGTGGAAACACACATGGTTACTCCTGTGTGCAGGAGAAGAAACTGAGGCGTGGAGAGGGTAAGGGGCCTTAGCACCGGCTGCTTGCTATTTTTTTTTTTTTCAGTTCCTTTTCTTCCCTTCTGGGACCAGCCCCGAGTGGAGTGGCTGGGACCACACTCAGCGACTGCTCAGGTCGATGGATCTGTTGTTTTGGAGTCACGGGGGTCTCACCCGGTGGTGCCGAGGGGGGCCACGTGGTGCCAGGGCCCAAACTCGGGGCTTTGCCATCCCCAAACCCCATGCATGCCTTCCTTTAAGGTGCCGGCTGTACGCACGGATGCGCCTTGACTTCGGGGTGGGCAGGAGTGATGGGAGGGGGGTGCGTGAATATTCCTTGTAAGTCAGTGTGTGAGCACGGCTTCGAAGCACGTGGGCTGCGGTCGCCTGGTGCGCATGAGTGGGCCAGGAACGGTCCCTGCGGGGATGGTGCCGTAGGACCAGCCAGGATTCTGGCCCAGCGAGGCACTGCCCCATGCAGTGCCCGGGAGGAGGATGCTCTGGAGGTGGGCACGGCAGAGGGGACCCCAGTGAACCTCCTCAAGCCATAAGAACTTGGCCATAGCCAGGCTCAGGGGAGCCCTGAGTTTCTTCCGCCATCTCCTACCCCCGCTCACCACCCCCACTCCCCACCTCCAGTGGCCTGCGGCCAGCAAGAGCAGGTGTTTATCGCTTTGCCCATGAAAGCGTGACTGCACCCCACTGCCCCACCCGCTCTCGTCTCTTGGAATCTGGAGCGGAGCCAGTCTGGACTGGGGGTTAGGGGGGAGGGGCTGGTGAGCAGGATCAGGGCTGACCCTCGTGGAACTCAGAGGATATTGTTTTGTCGGTTTCTTTCCCATGAAAGCCTCTTCCTCTTTACCTTGCATCTTTGTGGTCTGTCCCCACTGCAGGTCAAAACCTCCCCAGCACATCAGAGAATTGTACCCACACTGCGGTCAGCCGTGTTTCATTTCCCTTCTGGCTAACCCACTTCAAAAGAAACCCAGTTTGGGGGTTGGAGGGATGGTCCAGCAGGTAGGATGCTTTCCTTGCCTGTGGCTGACCCCTGTTCCATCTCTGGCCTTATGTAGGGTCCCCCGAGCCCAGCCAGGAGTGATCCCTGTGGGCAGAAGTAAGCCCTGAACATCGCTGTGTGTGACCCCCAAAACAAAAACAAAAGAAACCCAGTTTGAGAGAGAAGAACCCAGAGGTCAGTGCTGAGAGAGACCCGGAGCCAGCTGGGTCAAGTGGACACTCAGTAGCACGGGAACTGGTGCGTGGGGAGACTTTGGAAGCGAGATTTTGACCTTGTTTTGGGGGGCGTAGTGCTCCTGGTTCTGCACTCAGGGACCATTCCTGAGGGGTCTTAGAGACTATATGGGATTCTGGCGATCGAACCCGGGTCAGCCGTGTGCAAGGCATGCACCCTACCATATATGAATATGCCTGAATATGCAATTCTTTGTTTGGCTACACCCAATAGCGCAGGGCAGGGCTACTGCTACTGTTAGCTCTGCTTTGGAGAGATGTGTCACTCTGGACACTCAGGGACAATGCTGGGCATCAAACCTTGGTCTGGGACAAGCAAAACAGCCCCCCCCCCACCTTGGAGCCCTTCCCCAACACCTCTCCACCCCCCACTCAACACACATACACACACACACACACACACACACACCGTCTTAGGAGGGAAACACTGCCACCTGCTGGTTTCACCCTGTAACGGCACATTTCAAATATATCTGCTGATCGCATACCAAGTCTTATTTATTGAGCCCCAGTTTGCATGTTGGAGGCATTGCAACGTGTCCTCCAGGACATACAGCCTGAGCTCCTTCCCATGTGAAGTCTGCCTCCGAGAGGAGCAACCGACATTACATAAAGCTTCTTGGTTCAAAGTGGGAGAGGTGGGGATGACACTGTGAGTCTATGGCAAGAGAGGGCGGTGTAAACGGGCAGAGGGCACCTATGAGACATGCACAGCCTGGCAGGGCCCTGGGCTCTTGGCTCTTGCTACTGCTTGGAAGTCTCTCTCTCTCTCTCTCTCTCTCTCTCTCTCTCTCTCTTCCTCTTTCTCTCTCCCCACAAACGAGACTAGGGGAAGTTCTTCTCTGTGTGAGGGTGAGTTCCCCCCTCCTCCCACAGTCCTCCTGGGAGGTCTCTGGAGAGGGCTGGAGAGGAGCAGAGCAGAGGGTCCCTAAGCCCCTCCACTTGCAGGAGAGGAAACGTGTGTGTGTGTGGGGGGGGGTCACTGACAGGACAGCCCCTCCCAGCTCCCACAGCTGCGGGTCAGACAGTGAGACTCACTCCATTGAGGGTCCTCAGGGTAAATCCCAGACCCTAGGTGGGACCCCAGGCTCCAGAGTGGGATCCAGTGTCCAGGGGGCCCCCCAGTGGGCCCAGTGGCACCCAGGGCTCCAGGATCCGTCTTGATCACATAAAGGGCTGGGCACACACGAACAGGCTGGAGCCCAGGGCTGAGTCTTGGCACTCTATCACCCCCAGGTGAGGCCCGCAGGCAAAAACAAAACCCAAATCAAAGCCAACAGACAGAACCAGCGAGTCCTAGCACTGGGGACAGGACTCTGGGCCCAGGGCCGGCGGGCGTGCGTGTCAGCCTGGGCTCTGAGCGTAGGGTGTGAATCTATGTTTTCTCTTCAAGGGCAGATTCCTCTGTCTAGAGCTGCAGGAAGGATCAAGGCAACCCCCAACCCTCACCTTCAGGCTGACTCTGCAGAGTGTGGGGGACAAGGTAACACATGGGGGTGGGAGGGGGGGCGGGCCTTGCCTGGGCTCAACCTGGATTCTTCTTTTTTTTCTTTTTCTGGTTTTTGGGCCACACCCAGTGGTGCTCAGGGCTCTGAAGGCAGGAATCACTCTTGGCAGTGGTCAGGGAACCCTATGGGATGCCGGGGATGGAAACCAGGTTCACAGCTTACAAGGCAAACACCCTCCACACTGTATGTACTATCTCTCTGGCCTGTTGACCTGGCTTCTAACTGTGGCCTTGAGTAGGGTTCCCTGAGGAACATGAGTGACCCGGGGCACTGCCAGGGGTGCCCCCAATCCCCCATCCCCCCCCAGAAATGTGGAGTAAGAGATAGGGGATCAGGGAGAGAGTAAAGACCCCAGCCCCAGGGAGCGATAGCACAGTGGATAGGGCATTTGCCTTGCACGCGACTGACCCAGGTTCGATTCCCAGCACCCCATATGGTCCCCGAAGCATCACCAGGAGTAATTCCTGAGTGCATGAACCAGGAGTAACCCCTATGTGTCGTCGGGTGTGACCCGAAAACAAAACAAAACAAAAGACCCCCAGCCCCAGAGCGTCTCGGGGGCAGGGGCCTGGGGGTGGCCCGCGCACAGGGCCGCGGGGGGGGGGGGGGGTCGCGGGCAGACGCGCTACGTCTGGATGAAGAGGTGGAAGTTGGTGCGCGTGAACTCGTGGTGGATGGTCTCCAGCAGTGCGTCGGCATCTGCGGCCGGCTCGGGGGCGCCCGCTGGGCGTGCGCTGTACTCGGGGGTATAAGTGAAGGAGAAGGCGCTGGGGTAGAAGAGCCCGTCCGTGCGCACCAGGCTCACGGGCACAGTGATGGGGACGCGCTGCCAGCGCCAGTCGCTGCCAAAGGCCGCCACGTCGGGCACCACGCACACGAGCGAGCGTGGGCTTCTGCGGGGGGTGGGGCGGGTTAGGGCTGCGGGGACCCCCTCCCGCCCCCCCCCCCCCGCAGCCTGCCCAGCCCCTGTTCCCCGCGCCCCGTACCTGTACATGGTTTCCGCCTCCACGTCCCCGAACCATACTTTGAGTCCCGCGTGGAAGTTTTCCCCGTGGAGCTCCAGCGTGGCCACGTCGCCCCCGCCACTGAGCTGGGGAGGCACAGGGGGTGTGAGGGAGGGAGGGGAGGCTGCTCGGTCCCCAGGAGGTCAGGGTACCCCCCTTCCTGCAGAGTACCCCCAGTGGCCAGGTTCACCTCCAGGGTGCTGATGAGGGGTACCGGAGTGACGGGCTCCCGGGTGCGGGCCAGGCTGGTGCTGAAGGCGAACTCCACCGACTCGGTGCCAATGATGGTCCAGCAGGAGCTGTCATTGAGCAGCGCCCGGTTTGCCTCCTTGGGGCACGGGGAGGCCTGCGAGGATCCCCAACGGGAGGGGGCAGAAGGGTCACTGGGGCTCCAGCCCACCTGGGAGACACTGACTCCCCCATTCTGGGTCCCAGCCTCTGCCTGCCCTGAGAACTAGGGTCAGACCCCAAGGCTCTCCCAGAGTTAAATGGGCTCCTGGGAAAACGCTTCATCCCTCCCCCATCCCTTCTTTCATCCTTCCTCCCTCCCTCCTTTCATCCTTCCTCCCTGCCTTCCTCCCTTCTTTGCTTCCCTTCCTTCCTCCCTCCCTCCCTCCCTCCCTCCCTCCCTCCCTCCCTCCCTCTCTTCCTTCCTTCCTTCCTTCCTTCCTTTCTTCCTTCCTTCCCTCCATCCCTCCTTTTTCCTTTCTTTTCCTTCCACCTTTTCTTACTCTCTCTCTTTTTCTTTTTCTTTCTTTCTTCCACCAAGTGATGCTCAGGGCTTATTCTCTGCTCTTCCTCTTTCCTCTTTCTCTTTCCCTCCATCCCACTTTTTTCTTTTTTTTCTTCCTTCCATCCATCCTTCCTTCCTTCCATCCATCCTTCCTTCCTCTTTCTCTCTTCCTTCCTCCCTCCCCTTCTCCCTCCCTCCCTCCCTCCCTTCCTTCCTTCCTTCCTTCCTTCCTTCTTTCCTTCCTTCCTTCTTTCCTTCCTCCCTTCCTCCAATCGATGCTCAGGGCTTATTCCCAGCTCTGACCTCAGGGATCACTTCTCAAAGGGATTGGATGCTGGAGATGGAACTAGGCCAGCCACATGCAAAGCAAATAAAGGCCTTACCCCCTGTTCTCTCTCTCTCTCTCTCTCTCTCTCTCTCTCTCTCTCTCTCGCCTGGAATAACCAGTTTTCCAACATCTATTTTTTTTTTTTAAGATTCCAGAGTTTGATTTCTGAGCATTGTGCAATTCTATGCCTCCAAATTCCAGAGTTGAAGAATTCTTTGGGAGCATTGCTCAATAGTGTTATTTTCTACATTTTCTGATTTCAATCTCAACATTCTTTGATAATATTCTTGTAATTACTTAATAAGTTCCCCCATTCTACAGTTATGACTTGGCATTCCAAGAACATATTAGTCTTAGCATGACTTGGTGAGAACACACCACACTGATACAGCAAAGCAGAAACAGAATGCTGATTTTACTCACACTCTCCAATGCTCTACCTCAACGTCCCCTGAGCCTAATATTCCTTGGGATGAAGAGTCTTTTGCTCAGTATGGGCGGAAGAGAGAGAGTTTCAGGCTGAGCACCCGCTTTGCACATAGGAGATCTGGGTGTGACCTCAGTACCACCAGGACCCCTGAACACTGGCCCGAGCAACACCCAAGCACAGAGCCAGGAGGAGTCCCTGGAGAACTGCTGGGCATGGCCCCCCAAAAACAAACAAAAACAAAACTGAAAGTATCACTCAGGAATGTTCAGTTTACACACTATTCTCAGATGCCATCCTGCCCAGGACTTAATACTGCCCTGGAACAGGGCACTTGTTTATTAGATATATTTTTGGGCTTTGGGGTCACACCCAGTGATGCTCAGGGATTATCCTGGCTCTGGGCTCAGGCGTCACTCCTGATGGTGCTCTGGAGACCGTATGAGAGGCCAAGGATTGAACCTGGGTTGGCTGAGTCCAAGGCAAGCGCCCTTCCTGATTTCCTACTGCTCCGGCCTCAAGAAGCAGCTGTTGAGAGGCCGATGCTTCTATCCGGGGTACGCTGCAGCTCACCTGGAATTGCACCACCTTCTCTGTGGCCAGACACAAGTAAGTGCCGCCTCCTCCTGGAGGCCCTCCAGGAAACTGGAAGGCGCACTTGTGCAGCTGGGAGATGGGCTCGTCCACATCCAGGAGTGCGCACTGCTTGGCCACTTTCCGAATGATCTACAGGGGAAGGGCGGTGGTGGGGGGTGGGTGGGAACGTGCACCCCCAGCCATGGGGCCGCCAGCCCCCAGGCGGACCCATGACTCCACCGGGTACTTCTCCTCCCCCAGTCCCAGCGTCATCCTACCATCGGGGGCAGCGTGATGCCAGTGACCGTGCACACCAGCTGGACCAGGGAGCCGTAGCGGACATAGCCCTCTCGAGGGGGGAAGTCCCCCTGGGAAGAGCGTTCATCAGCTGTGGGGGGGGGGAGAAAGGAATATGGGGGGAGCGCTCAGGGGCTTCCCAGCTTTTGCACCCGCTGCTCACGCCCTCACCCCAGGTTCTTGGGGGCTGGAGCCAGCGAGAGCCACTGGGCTGGGGCAGAGTCACAGGGGGCGCAGGGCGGCACAGCAGTTGGCACAGCTCGGTTCATCCAACAGGCAAGGGGGACTCCGACGAGTCCTTCTGTACCTCTGGGCCTCCGTTTCACCAGGCCCAGGGCTTTCCTGGAAGGAGGGGGACGGCTTACCCAGGTGCAGCGTGAATGCCGCCCACTGGCGCGCGCTGGCCACAAAGGCACCGTCCTCCACTGACAAGTACCGTGTGGATACGGTCTGGGAGCGCAGCCGGTTGAAGAGTGACACCTTGGAACCGGAGGAGATGCACACTGCAAGAAATGGGGTAGGGGTGGCGGGGTAGGGGCGGTCAGGGCTACCTTGGCTTGGCCCTTCAACTTGCCCGACATATTACCAATTTATTTTAGTTTTTGTGTCTTGGGTCACACTCAGTGATGCTCGGGGGATTACTCCTAGCTCTACAGTCAGGAATTACTCCTGGCGATGCTCTGGGGATCAGATTGGATGCAGGGGATTGAATCCAGGTTGGTTGTGTTTAAGGCAAATGCCCAACCTGCTGTACTATTGCTCTGGTCTCTCTTTTCTTTTCTTTTCTTTCTTTTTTTTTTTTTAGCTTTTTGGGTCACACCCGGTGATGCACAGGGGTTACTCCTGGCTTTGCACTCAGGAATTACTCCTGGTGCTACTCAGGGGACCATATGGGATGCTGGGAATTGAACCTGGGTTGGCCGTGTGCAAGACAAACACCCTACCTGCTGTACTATTGCTCCAGCTGTTTTCTTTTCTTATTAAATGAAAGGACTGGAGCGATAGCACAGTGGGCAGGGCATTTGCCTTAAACACTACCAAGCTGTATTCTATCCCCGGCATCCCATCTGATCCCCAGAGCACCACCAGGAGTAATCCCTCTCGGAGAGCCCAGCAAACAACTGAGAGTATCCCGCCCACACGGCAGAGCCTGGCAAGCTCCCCGTGGCATATTCGATATGCCAAAAACAGTAACAGTAACAACATAATTAAATACAAAAAATTTTGGAACCACACCCAGAGGTCCTCAGGGCTTACTCCTGGCTCTGTGCTCAGAGATCACTCCTGGTGGGGCTGAGGGCATCATTTGGGGTGCCAGGGATCAAACCCAGGCAGCTGTGAGTAAGCCTTCCTGACCCCAGTCTGGCAATTTCTTCTTTGGGGGCAGGGTGGGGTCCCACACCCAGAGATGCTCAGGGATTATTCTTTACTCTGTACTATGGAGTCATACCTGGCAGTCACGTGGTCAGAGAGTCATATGGGATTGGGGAATCTAACAGGCTCGCCACATGAAAGGCAAGTGCCCTCCCCGCTGGGCTATCTCTTCAGCCTCTTGTCTGACCATTTCTTACCCTTGCTCCTCTGTGCCCAGCTGGGTCCAATACCCACTGTCTTAGACACACCTCCACAGCTCTTCCCGTCCACCTGCTGTCCTCCTGCTTCTGTCTCTCTACCTGCCCCTTGGATGTTGGGTATCCCTCAGCGCACAGGCTTCTCAGCCACCATTGCTGACTTGGCATGCTGATGGCTGGTGCAGGCACGATGCGGGTTCCTGAGCACCAAAAAGCAAGGGACCAGAGCCATAATACAGGGGGAGGGCATTTTCCTTGCATGTGGCAGACCCAAGTTCCATGCCCAGCATCCCATATAGTTTCCAGAGCACCGCCTGGAGTGATTCCTGAGTGCAGAGCCAGGAGTCAGTTCTGAGCACTGCCAGGTGGCCCCAAAGCTAAAAACAAAAACAAAATTAACCCCCCCCCCCCCATCATCACCCAAAACAAATACAAAACAAAGGTGAGTGAGAGGCAGTTTTGCACCAGACCAAAAACCCACCCCGTGTCCAAACCCCGCCCCTCACGGCCAGGCCCCGGCCCCGCTCACGGTCAGTGTTTTTCAGCGACTGCTTCTTCTGCGACGGCTTGGAGATGACCTTGATGAGGCGACTGTGGAAGGTGCCCAGTTCCCGGCCCCCTCGGAGCACCAGCCGCAGCACCAGGCGGAAGTGTTTCCTCTTGTCGGCGTCGGAGATGTACAGAGTCTTGGCGCAGCCGAATTCCTGGGGGGTCGTGGAAGGCAGGATGAGGGGGCGGGGGGATGCGTCTCATCCTCCCTGTGCTGTGACACCCGCCCCATCGGACTGGCCCTGAAGAGTCAGGATTCCAACGCTCAGGTTCACCCTGGAGGCCGAACCCTGGCGTATGGGTCACCTGCCCGGTCCCTGGGCTCCTGCAGGGGTGAATGAGGGGGGTCACTGCGCCCTCCACTCTCGGAGTGCGCTGGGGAGACCGGGATGGGATGAGGCGTCGGAGCCCCTCCCGAGCGCTCTCACCCGCGAGTCCCGCTGCTCTTCGAAGCTCAGCTTCTGCGTCTCGGCGGCGCTGCCCGAGGCGCCGTCCAGTCCCATGAAGCCGCAGACGATGGGCCCGGACTCCCCGGCCGGGTGCGCTGCAGAGGCACAAGCGGAGCGCGCGCGCTCGGGACGGACTCGGGGAGGACCAGGCACTCCCGGTTCTCGCCGCCAGGGGGCACCGCCGGACCGCGCGGCGAAGCGGACCCGCGCGCGCTCCCAGGACCCAGGGAGGGGCCCGCGGCGGGCTAGCGGGGAGGCCCCCACGGCGGTCCCCGTCCGTTCCTCACCTTGGCCCTGCCCTGGCTTCACCCTCCAGCCGGGACCTGCGAGGTAGACACAGGGCGGGGGGCAGAAGAACCTGCGGAGACGTGGAAGCGCTGGACCTGTTTCATCACCTTCCTCCGAGCATCACAAAAGTAGCACAACAGGACCCGGATTCCCACCTTCCCCAACGCCCTCCGGAGGCTGCGTGCCCGTGAGTCCCGTTAACAGCTAAACTTTATTCGTCCACTCCCCTCCTCCAACCCGTGGGTAAGTCCTACCCCACCTTTCTCTGCGCCCGGAGTCCAGTGGTCCCTCTCATGTTCGCTTGGGCCCCTGGCTGTCACCACTGTTCGCCCGGACGCAGCCTCCACCCTGCTCCCGCCCCCACTTTCCCCTCCTTTTCCCTTCCACGTGCTTTTTCACACAGCGGTCACTGTGCACTTTTTTTTCTCCTTTTTTTTTTTTTTAAAGCCGTTACTCATCACAGATTTCTCTAATGGTTGAAATCCAAAGTCCTCATATGCCCCGGACTCTGCCCCGGACTCTGCTCACCTCTCCGGCTTTCATTCCTACAATTTCCCTCCTTCTCTCATTCCACCCACTCATGGCAGGGCTCTGAGCCCCACCAGGCCTCAGGCAGGACTCAAGGTCACGGCATTTTCTGTTTTTTTTTCCTCACCAGAACTTGCTTCCCCCACGCCCTCCGGTTCTCTTACTTCTGGCTCAGTTTCCAGCATCCAAGCCTCAGTACAGCTCTCTCCTCCTTCAGAGGCCTTTTCCTCCACCTTGGTCTTTTCTTTTTTTTTTTTCTTTCCCCCCTCTTTTGTTTTGGTCTTTTGGGGTCACATCTGGCGGTGCTCAGGGGTCACTCCTGATTCTGCACTCAGGAATGATTCCTGGCCTGGCCCCGGGGACCATATGGGATATGGGGGACTGAACCCAGGTCAAACTCATGCAAGGCAAATGCCCTCCCCACTGTACTATTGTTCCTGCTTGTCACCTTGTTCTTTTAGAGCCCCGTTTTAAATTACATTATCTTCTTCACCCCTACCCTACCAGTCTCTTCCTAGCATGGGTGTTTTCTCATGCACAATGGGGTGAAGATGCTATAAAGAAAAGGCTGTTTGTGTCTTTTTTTTTCTTTTTGGGTCACACCGGGTGATGCACAGAGGTTACTCCTGGCAGTGCTTGGGGGGACCCAATAGGGTAGTGGGAATCGAACCCAGGTTGGCCACGTGCAAGGCAAAGGCCTGAGCCGCTGTAATATGGCTCCAGCTCCTGCTTGTGTCTTGTCCAGGCTGGGCACCCCATGTCCAGCAGTGCCCAGAGAGAGAGCCTGGCGCCTAAGTACTGGGTCACAGCGGACATGGAGGGGGGGGGACTCTCACAGCCAAGTGGGGGTGCTGTGTGTGTTTTCCAACAGGCCCCACGCCCAGCCTCCCCGCCTGGGTCCTCCCGGTCCTTCCCACACACCTACCGCTTCTCGTTCCCATAGGATTTCTGGGCCACTTTGGCGTGCAGGATCCACACGGTCTGCTCACACTGCTGCAGGCATCTGCGCACGCCTTCCCTGGCGCCCTCAGAGGAGGCCCTGGGGGGCGGGGTGAGGCCCAGCCCCAAGCGGGAGGGTCAGGTTGGTGCCCCCCACCCCCCAGGTGCAGGAAATGAATGAGAGGGGGCTGCTCCGTTGGTCCTAGCCCCACCCCCACCCCACCCCCAAACACACGTTATCCGGGAGACAAGGGTCAAGTCTGGGAGCCAGCCGGGGTGAAAGTCATGAGCTACATCTTTGGGCTGTGGGGAGTGGCCTGGGAGTCCAGCCTGGACCCCAGCGGGGTCACCCAGGCATCCCCTCGCCTGCTGGGCTTCAGGCCGGGGCAGCCAGGAGCCCTAGGGAATAGCTGGCAGGAAAAAAAAAAAGGGCTGGGTTTGTGAGGACAGGGTGGAGGGTCCAGGGCTTCTCTGCACCCAAGAGGACCCCCCCACCCCCACCCCAAAGAAGTCTCAATTCCAGGGGAAGTGGCCTTTACTTGACCCCTGCTCACTTGTCTGTCTACAAATGCCTGGAAACATGGACATAGCACAAACACCCTCCCTTCCTGCCCGCCCCCACCAACAAACCCAAACCCTGTCCTCAGGATCTTGCGGAAAATATTTGAGTCCTTTGGAAGGTCAAAGCCACCTCCCTCCCCACGAGAGAGGCCCGGTGCCGTGTCCAGCACCGGCAGGGCCTGGGAGGCCTACGGGAGCTGGTGGTCCGCCCCCGACGTGGTGGGTGACGGCGGGTCGGCGCTCGGACAGCTACGGAGCCCGCCCTGGCGTCCTCGACTGCGGCTACTGGCAGGAACGCTCGGCCCCGAGGCTGCCCCTCGGAACCTAGAGAGGGGGCGGGGGCCGCCCCCTCGGAGCCCGCCAGGCCGCAGGCGCGGGGAGCCAAGCCCCGCTCCGCCCCTCGGGGCGCTCCCCTGGGAAGCGCTCCGAGGTGCCCAGCGCGTTCCGCCCGGCCGCTCTCGCGGGGGGCGCAGGTCCCGCGGCGCTGCCCTCGTCCGAGCTCCCCGGGAGGCTGTCGCTGGGTCGGGGGGCGGGGGGGGGGGGAGGGATGCCCCTCTCGCTCCGCCCCCGCCCTCCGAGCAGTGGGAGGGGTCGCGGGCCGCGCCCCCCACACCGCCCCCCCTGCCAGCGCTCGCCCGGGTTAAATGCGGCCGCCGCGCTGGCTGCGCGCTCCAGCTGCCTGGCAGACGCCGCCCCGGGCTCGCTGCCCGCGCCCGTACCTGGAACAGCTGCCCGGGAGGCTCCGCCCGTCGGCTCCGCTCCGCGGCCGCGCCTCCGAACCGTCCCGCAGGCTCAGGTGAGTCAAGGGGCCTGGGGGCGCCGGGGGCCCTGCGGGGGACAAGCCACACCAATGCGGGTGTGTTTGTGTGTGTGTGTGTGGGGGGGAACCCTCCTTTACCGCTGCGCCCTTCCCCACGTCGGGGCGGTCCTTTCCAAATTGAACCCCCCTCCGCACGGAAACGGGGAGAGGGTTTTTCCCTAAGCTCCCTCCCAGAAACGCGCCCCCCACCCCAGGTACGTGTTCTGTAGCCAAGGCTGGAGGAGATGTTCTCGGACCCCCGCCACGCCCTCGAGAGGTCTTTCCAGCGCTTTCTTTCCCATCCCAGAATTAACCCGTCAGAGGAGCTGGGGTGGAATTGAGGCGTTCTGCCCTCTATTGCCGGGTGGCCTGGGGTGGGGTGGGGGGACACGCTAGCCTCTCTGGACGGGAATCCGTCCCTGCGTCAGAGCGAGTAGAAGGTGACTGACTGTTCCAAAGAGTAGCAGTCTGGGTCCCCGGCATGAAGGTGGGGTGCCAGGCGGGATGCTGGCAGAGACCAAGAGCAGGCCTATGAGGGCCTGGCGCAAAGTTCTGGGGCTCTGAAACTTCTGCAGGTAGCAAAGAGTGAGGGTGGGAGCCCCCAGGACTGTTCCCCTCTCCCTGCGCCCCGGCGGTGGAGGAAAGGCAGCCCCTGCTCCATTAGCTGCAGGACCACTTTGCTGCTGTTGCAGGGCCTGAAAGGCAGGGCTGGGAGGATCCGGACGGGAAGGCCGCCTGCAGAGAGGGGCCGGCACCAGCTGTGTGCAGAATAGGCCCATTCAGGGAACTGGGGGGGGGGGGGGGGGCGGGGCTGCGGTTGGGGTAGGGGCAGCCTGTCCCCCCTCTGCCAAGAAGCAGCAGCAGGAAAATGCTAACACGTGGCCTCAGAGGGTCAGCGTGGAGGAAAGCATGGCCAGCAGCCCCGCTGAGAGGGGAGAAAGGGAGCCAGCCGCTGGGCCTCTATTTTCCCATCTGTGTAACGGGAGTCCTCTGTGATCCTAAGGGGCGTCGCCCAGGGCCTCTCAGGGTGAGCGCTCACCTGCCGCCCCTACAGCGTCCATGGTGGCCTTCGGAGCCCCCCGGCTGCTCACTCACCGCACTGCGGTAGCGTCCAGGACCTCTGTCCCCAGAACCCCGCGCACCCCTGATCTTTAGCCCTCAAGCGCTGGATATATCCTGCCTTATCTGCAAGGCCCCCGGGGCTCCAGGCCCCTGTTTGCTCAGGACTGGGCACCTGCTTTGCAGCTGTGCGCTTCCCACCACCTACCTAGCCAGCCCCGGAGGCGCCCCCTTGCGGCCCCTCCGTGCACGGGCCAGGCCAAGAGGGTTCAAGTGCAAGGTGGGTTTTGGTCTCAGCACTGCCTGCGCCCTCCGCCCCGCGGAAGGGCGGGGAATGTGCCTGCGCGCATCTCTCTCTCCCCTCCCCCACCCACCCCCGGTGTCTCAGGAGAGAGCCTCACAGAGGCGCCTTGTGTCCTGAGGGAAGGGGGGTAAGGAGGGGGCGGTGCAAGCCTTCTGTCTCAGAGGAAGAGCACGCAGAACACGCCAGGCTGAGCCTCAGGACCCCGTGAACATGGGACGGGGCCCCGGAACACCCACTTTCTTGCCTCAGAACTTTGGGTACCGGCATTTACCTTTTCTGAGCCTGACTCCTCATCTCTGCAACAGGAATGATGACTGATTTAGTCTCGGATTTTACACGGAAAGCATTTAACTGTGCCTGGCACGTAGGGATGGCTTTCTCTTTCCCGAGGATCTATTTTCATTTATTTATTTATTTATTTATTTATTTTTTTGCTTTTTGGGTCACACCTGGTCATGCACAGGGGTTAATCCTGGTTCTGCACTCAGGAATTACTTCCGGCGGTGCTCAGGGGACCATATGGGTCCAGCCCCAGATCTACTTTTAATTTATCTTTTTTTTAACCATTCTGGAGTTTTTTTTTTTTTCTTTTTGGGTCACACCCAGCGATGCAGAGGGGTTAGTCCTGGCTCTTCACTCAGGAATTACTCCTAGCAGTGCTCAGGGGGCCATATGGGATGCTGGGAATCGAACCCAGGCCGGCTGCGTGCAAGGCAAATGCCCTACCCGCTGTGCTATTGCTCCAGCCCCCCCATTCTGGAGTTTTACAACCAGAATCCTCATGTTTTCAGCACTCCCTGCTGGTGACATCATTTCTTCTTATGAAAATGTTCAGGGGCTGGAGCGGGTAGGCTGTTTGCTTTGCATGCGGCCGACCCAGGTTCAATTCCCAGCATCCCATATGGTCCCCTGAGCACCTGAGTTACCCCTGATACCCCTGAGTAATTCCTGAGTGCAGAGCAGGAGCAACCCCTGTGAATCGCCAGGTGCAACCCCCCCCCCCAAAAAAAGAAAATGCTCAAACAGAGGCTAGTAAAACGAAGTCGTGCCTTCCCCCTGCAGTTGCTGTCACCCCAGCAAACAGAATAACGGCTCTGATGCATGATGGCTCTGCTGGGTTTGCTCCATTCCTTCCTTCCCCCAGGCTCTGACGTCTCCGCTCTCTGTGCCCACGGAGCCATGAGGGGCGTTTTATGCTCACCTCTGCCCACCTTGCTGCTCCTTCTCCAGCCCTGGGAAACTCAGCTGCAGGTCACAGGTGAGCACTAGCAAAGGGAACGGAGATGGGAGGAGAGGAGCAAATGCAGGGTTAGATCTTCTTGGAAGGGAAACTCAGGGCTTTTCACAAAAGGAGAGAGGCCAAAGAATAGAACAGGGGTTAAAGTGCTTGTCTGGAATGCAGCGACTGGGTTTGGGACCCTGAGCACCACCAGGGTTGAGCACTGATGGACGTACCTCCCCCAAGCCCTCCCCCCCAAAAAAAAACCCGAACACAAGGGGACTGAGTTCAAGTTCTCTGTCACCATTCCTAGCCTCATTTGTAGGAGACTCAAAGGTAATCAGGCTAGACTCATGCAGAACTACCTGTTTGGTGCTTAATTTAAAAATATTAATGGGGTGGGGCTAGAGCAATAGCACAGCGGGTAGGGCATTTGCCTTGCACGCGGCCAACCCGGGTTCGATTCCCAGCATCCCCTATGGTCCCCTGAGCACCGCCAGGGGTAATTCTTGAGTGCAGAGCCAGGAGTAACCCCTGTGCATAGCTGGGTGTGACCCAAAAAGTCAAAAAAAAAAAAACAAAACAAAAAAACCCCAAAAAATGTTAATGGGGGAAAAGATCAGGAGTTTTCACATAAAAAGTCCCTATTTGGGACTTCTCTAGAAATTTCCAAGGACCTGCACCTGTGGGAAGGCGTAGAAGCACACTGGGCCAGAGGTTCCTCCTTCTAGGACAGATTCTGGCCCTCTCTCGAGCCAGCCAGTTCCTTCACAGAAGTTGCTTGCCTGGATCCTGTCTGCATTTGAATTTTTTTTTTAAGGAAACGCCTTTATTTATTTATTATATTTATTTATTGCTTTTTGGATCACACTGGCGATGCACAGGGATTACTCCTGGTTCATGCACTCAGGATTTACTCCTGGTGGTGCTCGGGGGACCATATGGGATGCTGGGAATCGAACCTGGGTCCCCTGCGTGGAAGGCAAACACCCTACCCGCTGTGCTATTGCTCCAGCCCCTGCATTTGAATTTTTGACACCAGGAAAGCACTCTTGGAAAGGATAATACCTCCTCAGAAGAAGAGCTCCCTGGAGAACTCTGAAATCCAGCCCAGGTGTTAGTTAGGAAAGGCTGAGGCAGAACATCTCTCTAGTGGGCGTTTGCTAAGGCAGATCCTAACCTCGTGCTGCTGGGGCGAGATGGGACCTTTCCACACTGGGTTTGCTCCAGGGGTCTCCTTAGAGCTGGGGAGAACTGCCGAGTTCGCCCAGCCCTCTCTCATCTCTCAGGTTCCAGGTGCCGCACGGGGCCCCTGGATTTGGTGCTCGTGATTGACAGTTCGCGCAGCGTGCGCCCCTTCGAGTTTGAGACCATGCGGCAGTTCCTGGTGGGCCTCCTCCGCGGCCTGGACGTGGGCCCCAACGCCACGCGCGTCGGCGTGATCCAGTACTCGAGTCAGGTGCAGAGCGTCTTCCCGCTGGGCGCCTTCTCCCGTGTCGAGGACATGGAGCGCGCCATCCAGGCCCTGGTGCCGCTCTCCCAGGGGACCATGACCGGGCTGGCCATCCAGTACGCCATGAACGTGGCCTTCAGCGTGGCCGAGGGCGCGCGGCCGCCCGAGGCGCGCGTGCCGCGCGTCGCTGTCATCGTGACGGACGGGCGGCCCCAGGACCGCGTGGCCGAGGTGGCGGCGCAGGCGCGGGCGCGCGGCATCGAGATCTACGCCGTGGGGGTGCAGCGTGCTGACGTGGGCTCCCTGCGAGCCATGGCATCGCCCCCGCTCGACGAGCACGTCTTCCTCGTCGAGTCCTTCGACCTCATCCAGCAGTTTGGTCTGCAGTTCCAGAACAGGCTGTGCGGTGAGTTCGGAAACCGCAGGAGGAAGAGGATGAATCTCCGTCGGCTGAGATTCAGTCCCCTTCTATCCCTGGACCTCCCCCTCTCTCAGTCTGTTCCAGCTGTACCCTGGTCCCCCTGGAAGAACAAGACTTCCTCTATCCTAACTCAGACTGTTAGACTAGGTACTGACTCTGCTAGGCATCGCCTACGAGCAACGGTTGTGGTTGACTAGGGTTTATCAACTTCTGGAACTTTTCCACGACACAGGAAGCACCGTCCCTGCAGCTGGGAGCAAGCCCTGACTCCCCTGTTCATAAGATGTGCCCCTGATCACTCTTTAGCCCCGTCTCAACGCTGATTGGACACCCCTGCCCCACCTCTGTCTTCCTCCTGCATGGTCCTGTCCTATCTCATCGAAACATCTAGCTGTTGGCTCTGTTCCTACTTCCCCAGCATTCCTCCCAGGATGGGCTCCTGTTTCTTCTCCTCCCTCTCCCTCTCCCTCTCCCTCTCCCTCTCCCTCTCCCTCTCCCTCTCCCTCTCCCTCTCCCTCTCCCCCTCCCTCTCCTCCTCCTCCTCTTCTTCCTCCTCCTCCTCTTCCTCCTCCTCCTTCTTCTTCTTATCTTTTTGGGGCACACCTGGCAATGCACAGGGGTTACTCCTGACTCTGCACTCAGGAATTACTCCTGGCAGTGCTCAGGGGCCACATGGGATGCTGGGAATTGAACCCAGGTCTGCTGCATGCAAGGCAAAAAGGCCCTACCCACTGTGCTACCACTCCAGCCCCTCCTGTCTCTTCTGTATCTTCTAAGGCCATTCTAGACTCCATCCAGTTTGCTCTTGTTGCACCGCCCGGCCTGTCTTTCCCCTCCTGACTGTTATTTCTCCTCAGGAAAGAACCTGTGTGCCGAGGGGACGCATGGCTGCCAGCACCAATGTCTCAACACCCCGGGCACCTTCCGCTGTGCCTGCAACCCTGGCTTCCAGCTAGCCGCAGACAACAAGAGCTGTTTGGGTGAGCGTGGCGGTGCCCTGCTAATCTCACTGCTTCTGCAACAGGCCGATGAGGCAGGGAGGAGGTTCAGAAGTAGGAATCGAGCTCCAGGTCTGAGGAAAGGAAGGACAGCCCCCAACCCCCCATGGGAGCAGCCTGGAACGGGTTATCCCACAGTTCAACGCGCCTTCCATGTTCTTCCTTCCTTGACCCTACCTTGCCTCCAATCTGCCCCCCAGGCATGCCTCTGGCTTCCCTTCAGCATGTCTTGACTGTTCCTGTTAGTCACAATTAGGGGCTTTGCTTAGGATCTCTGCACCCCTGGTCCCTTCTCATTCCTACTTCTGCACTGGAGATCTTTTCAGTGGCCCACCTGGGCTACCTCTGCCTCTATTCTCTGCATCTGCTGATCTTCCAGCTCCTTCTTTGTGTCGCTCTCTGAATTTCACGCCACACACATCCTTGCTTAGAGCATCAGGAGTTTCCTGTGGGCCAACTGGTCACACTCCTTTGATGAAAATTGCAGCTTCCAAAGTCTCAGTGTCCAACACCAGGGAAGGAGCTTTCCATGCATTATCCCTTAAGATCACAACAGCCTGGGCAAAGAAGGAATACCATTCCAGCACCCTGGATGTCAGCTTCTTCTTTCTGAAAAGCTAGAAAAGCGGGTTTGAAGCCCTATTTGACGAACCGTGAACATTTCCCATCCCTCCCAGCCACCTGAAATTCCACCCCTTTCCCTGATCTTAGCCACCTCTCCGCTGAGCTCCTGCTGTTCCCTGATGGTTCCTGCTCCTTTCCCTACTGCATGTTTCATGCACTGTTCTTGTCCCATGCCTGCAAGTCAGCCCCTTCCTTGGCCTCCACACCTGTACACACAGGGCAGGGGAGCATTTGCAGGTGTAACAACTGCCCGAGCCTGTTTCCTAAGATGCTGGTGGACAGAGGTGTGAGCCATAGCTAAGAAAAACCAAGCACACACGCACACAAACACACACACACACACATGCCAAAATATTGATCATTGAAACTTTGCCTTGGGCTAGAGACGTAGGACAGTGGGTAAGGTGTTTGCCTTGCATGCGGCCAACCTGGGTTGGATCCCTGGCACCACATATAGTTCCCAAAGCCCTGCCAGGAGTGATGTCTGGGCACAGAGCGAGGAATAAACCCTGAGCACAGCTTGGTGTGCCCTCCCCCCCCACTCTCATACCTCCTGCTAAAGAAAATTAGACTTGTAGTTTGTGAAAGTTCTCAGTCACCCCAGTTCTGGGGCTGTGGCTTCTCCCTTCCCGATCTTAACACACACAATCACTCATCAACACACCGCTTCTCTTGCTTGTTCCTCCTCCCTCTCCTCTCCCATATTTTTTCTAAGAACCCCAGTTTCCACTTAAAAAATTTTCTTTAGGGGATGGAGCGATAGCACAGCGGGTAAGGCATTTGCCTTGCATGCAGCCAACATGGCCAACACAGGTTCAATTCCCAGCATCCCATATGGTCCCCCGAGCACTGCCAGGAGCAATTCCTGAGTGCATGAGCCAGGAGTAACCCCTGAGCATCACCAGGTGTGACCAAAAAACAAAAAAAAATTTTTTTAAAAATTTTTATTTATGTATCTGTTTTTGGCATTTTGGGTCACATCTAGCAATGCTCCGGAATTACTCCTGGTGGTGCTCAGGGGACCATATCGGATGCTGGGGATCGAACCCAGGTCGGCAGCATGCAAGTCAAACGCCCTCCTCACTGTACTAATGCTCCGGCCCCAGGTTTCCACTTTTTATTGGGGGAAACTCATCTCTTTCCAGTCCTCATTCCCCAGATCCACTCCTGAAAATCTCAGGCCGTCAAAGGCTCTCATCTCTCCACTCTCCTGGAGCAATTGGTCTTTTTTACGATGGTCCCATTTTGGAAATGGGAAAATAGAGGCTCCACCAGGTGAAGCAACAGAACTGCTTTTGTCAGGGAGCAGAAGCCCAGGTCACTAAAACTGACACATTCACTTTCTTTCTTTCTTTCTTTCTTTCTTTCTTTCTTTCTTTCTTTTTTTTTTTTGCTTTTTGGGTCACACCTGGTGATGCACTGGGGCTCTGTACTTCTGGCTCTGTACTCAGGAATTTCTCCTGGCGGTGCTTGGGGACCCTATGGGATGGCGGGGATTGAACCCGGGTTGGCTGCATGCAAGGAAAATGCACTACCTGCTATGCTATCGTTCCAGCCCACGTTCACATTCTTGTGCACGACTTAGTCCCGAGCACCAGTCTCTCAGACTTGAGTTGGGCAGGTCTGCGGCTTCTAGAAGCTACCGATGATGGGGTCAGCTTGGTGGCTGCGTAGTGGCATGCAGGACGTGTATGTAGAGGGTCTGGGCTCAAGCTCAGCACTGTCAAAACAAAAAAACGAAAGTGCCAGGGCCAGGCATCATCCTTGCCGGGGTCTTGGGGCTGAATCCGGGCCTGGGCATCCCTGGGCGGGAGACTGTGCGGTCAGCAGCTGCTCAGTTCCTCTCCTGCAGCCATTGACCTGTGCGCCGGAGGGGCCCACGGCTGTGAGCACCACTGTGTCAGCCTCCCGGGCTCCTACTTCTGCCGCTGCCAAACGGGCTTTGTGCTCCAGCAGGACCAGAGGAGCTGCAGACGTGAGTGAGCCCCTCCTGCGTCCCTCTCCCGAAGGCTCTGATTCCTCCAATCAGAAGCCGCATCGTCCCCTTTCTTTTCCTTCCCACCAGCCGTTGACCACTGCCGTTCTGGAACCCACGGCTGCCAGCACGAGTGCGTGAGCACTGTCACGGGCCCGCAGTGCCGCTGCCGAGAGGGCCACGAGCTGCTTGCGGACGGGAAGAGCTGCCGCAGTGAGTAGGGTTCTGGGCGAAGGGGCTCTTAGCAGATGGGAACCCCCCTGCCCCTCACCCCGCTCAGGCTGACCTGTCTCTCTCTCCCTTCAGTCCGGGACCTCTGCAATGGTGTAGACCATGGATGCGAGTTCCAGTGTGTGAGCGAGGGGGACTCGTACCGCTGCCTGTGCCCCGAGGGTCTGCAACTCCAGGCCGATGGCAAGAGCTGCAGCCGTGAGTGCTGGCTGGGCGGGCGCCCCGCGTGTCGGCCCCACTGCGCATGTCCTAAGCATCTCCTACTTTGCCCTTGCCATGTGGGACCCAAGGTGTAAATGTGAAGGACTGTTCGGGATGCAGGATGGCAGAGGACCTGTCCTGCCCTGTGGCTCTCTCTTTCTCCTCCATTATCTCCCCCGTGGCTAAGGATTTTTTTAAAAAAAATGTTTGTTGTTGTTTTGGGGCCACACCTGGTGCTGCTCAGGTGTTACTTCTGGCTCTGCAGTCAGGTATTATGCCTGGTGGTGCTCAGGGGATCATATAGGATCAGCTGCATACAAGGCAAGCGCCCTCCCGGCTGTACTATCGCTCCAGTCCCTAAAGTTTATTTTTTAAAATAGAAGATCTGGGGCTGGAGATAGTACAGCGGCGAGGGCCAGGGCGTTTGCCTTGCACGCGGCTGACCCGGTTTCGATTCCCAGCATCCTATATGGTCCCTAGAGCACGACCAGGAGTTAATTCCTGAGTGCAGAGCCAGGAGTAACCCCTGAGCATCACCAGGTGTGACCCAAAAAGCAAAAAAAAAAAAAAAAGCAAGCCAAGATCTGACCATATTCTTTTCTTGCTCCAGAGCCTTCTGTGACCTCACCCTCACCCCCCGCAGGGCCCGCAGATTTAGTGTCAAAAATTTATTATCAACTCAAATCCCTGAGTTGCTTGAAAGGTGGGTGCAAACACATTCATGGATAATGGAATCAACTCTGTGGGTGAGAGCCAACATCTTCAAAAGAGGAGATAGAGCTTCCTACATGCATCGAGACTGTCATTTCATGAATATTTCATGCACGCCTGTGAAATGCACTACTATGTAATGCTCTTGTTCATTTCACCGTGGGCTGTTATGACTGTTTGGAAGCATCGACCCCATTAGCCTGTCTTCTGTCACACTTGAACATCTTAGCTGTACGTTCCATTCAGTGTTGAGAGCTGCTGGCTTCTGAAAACGTTTGTGCCACCATCTAGAATGTCCCTTTCTACCATAGAAAACTCCTTCAGGAAGAAATCAAATGTCACCACCTCCAGGCAGCCTTCCTCAACAGGAAGGATAAATTCTTCCTGCCTTGGTCTCCCTGGCTTTCCATTTTTTTTTTTTAAGGTGGTGAGGAACACACTCAGCTCAGCTACACTCAGCGCTTACTCTTGGCTCAACATTCAGGGATCTCTGGGGCCTCGGGGGACCATCTGAGGTGCAAGGGATTGAACCTGGGTCATCTGCATGCAGGGCAAGTGCCCTACCTGCTGTGATTTCCCTCCAGTCTTGAGCTCTCCTTGACGGTAGCAAACAGCTGCTTTGCTCTATCCTGATTTCCTTGTGTATTAGGAATATATTTCATTTGTTGCTGAATCCCCCACTTCAAGCCCTCGGAGCACTTGGATCACAAGAGGGAAGGCAGGATTGCAGTGACTGAAAACTAGGATGTGGATGTCAAATCCTGGCTCAGTTACTGGGAGCTATGGAATCTGGGATTGAAAAGGATTGAAAAGGTGTAGAATCAGTATATCAGTGATTTCTCCTTACTAACGGCTTTGCTTTCTGTAGTTCCACTTATCTTTGGTCCAACTACACTGTAGCACTGTCCTCCCGTTGTTCATCGATTTGCTTGAGCGGGCCCACTAATGTCTCCATCGTGAGACTTTGTTGTTACTGTGTTTGGCATATTGAATATGTCAATGGGTAGCTTGCCAGGCTTTGCCGTGCGGGCAAGATACTCTTGGTAGCTTGCCGCGCTCTCCGAGAGGGGCAGAAAAATCAAACTCTGGTTGGCCAGGTCGGCCGCATGCAAGGCAAATGCCCTACCCACTGTGCTATTGCTCCAGCCCGGTCAACTACAGTGCTCCCTAATTTTATGTAGTTTATCTTATGTATTTGGGCTGGAGCGATAGCACAGCGGTAGGGCATTTGCCTTGCACGCAGCCAATATGGCCGACCCAAGTTCGATTCCTCCGCCCCTCTCGGAGAGCCCGGCAAGCTACGGAGAGTATCTCAGCAAAGCCTGGCAAGCTCCCCGTGACGTATTCAATATGCCAAACACAGTAACAAGTGTCACAATGGAGACGTTACTGGGCCCGCTTGAGTAAATCGATGAACAACGGGAGGACAGTGACCGATTATTGTGTATTTATTTATATGAAATATTTGTTTTGTATGCGGCTGGCCCAACCTTGATTCCTCTGCCACTCTCGAAGAGCCTGGCAAGCTACCGAGAGTATCTCGCCCACACAGCAAAGCCTGGCAAGCTCCCGTGAGGTATTTGATATGCCAAACACAGTAACAACAAGTCTCACAATGGAGACATTACTGGGCCCACTCAAGCAAATTGATGAACTACGGGAGGACAGTGCTACAGTGCTATACCACATAAAATTGTGGGTTATATACAAACACACAGACATTAATAAATGGTAGTCATCATAGTCCTTTCTCTAGTTTCTTCCCTGTCTTTCCCATTTTCCTTTGCTTTTCACAGATTGCCTGGCTTGGGCTAAGCATTTAGTGAGTGGCAAGGGTTAAGATGTGGATGCTAATAAGAATAAGAATAATAGCATCGATAATAATTTTGCCACAGAGCTGGATACAGGAAGGACTTCACACATGGTCCCCGTTACGTAAACGGTGTCTGTAGCTGGTAAACGGCAGCTGCAGACAAGATTCCGGCCGCTCCCACCAATTCTTCCCCGGTACAGGGTGCCGGGAAGGTCACGTGGACCTGGTTCTGCTGATCGACGGCTCCAAGAGTGTCCGCCCGCAGAACTTCGAGCTGGTGAAGCGCTTCGTGAACCAGATCGTGGACTTCCTGGACGTGTCCCCCGAGGGCACGCGCGTGGGGCTGGTACAGTTCTCCAGCCGCGTGCGCACCGAGTTCCCGCTGGGCCGCTATGGCACGGCGGCCGAGGTGAAGCAGGCGGTGCTGGCCGTGGAGTACATGGAGCGCGGGACCATGACCGGGCTGGCGCTGCGCCACATGGTGGAGCACAGCTTCTCGGAGGCGCAGGGAGCACGGCCCCGCGCGCTCAACGTGCCCCGAGTCGGCCTGGTCTTCACCGACGGCCGCTCCCAAGACGACATCTCTGCGTGGGCAGCGCGTGCCAAGGAGGAAGGTGGGCTGGGTGCGAGGCCCCGGGCGCCGGCCAGGCGGGGAGGCGGTTTTGCTGAGGTCTGGGGTGCCTGCCCCTCCCTTCTGTAGGCATCGTCATGTACGCCGTGGGCGTGGGCAGGGCGGTGGAGGAGGAACTGCGCCAGATCGCTTCGGAGCCCCCAGAGCTGCACGTGTCCTACGCCCCTGATTTTGACACCATGACGCACTTGCTGGAGAACCTCAAAGGCAGCATCTGCCCAGGTGAGCTGAGAGGGCCTGGGGCCCTTCCAGACCACGCCCACACCGGGCCACGCCCCTCAACTGACCACGCCTCTCTCGGAGCCCTGCACCTTACTAGACTGCCCTTCTCTGGCCCAGTTTCCTCTCTGGGCCACGCCCCTTATAAGACTCCGCCCCTTCACTGGCCCAGTTTCCTCTCCGGGCCACGCCCCTTAAAAGACTCCGCCCCTTCACTGGCCCAGTTTCCTCTCCGGGCCACGCCCCGTATAAGACCCCGCCCCTTCTCTGGTCCATTTTCTTCTCCAGGCCACGCCCCTTACAAGACTCCGCCCCTTCTCTGGCCCAGTTTTCTTTCCGGGCCACGCCCCTTATAAGGCTCTGCCCTTCTCTGATCGGTTTCTTCTCAGGGCCACGCCCTCTATGAGACTCCGCCCCTTCTCTGACCCAGTTTCTCCACAAGGCCCACCCCTTCTCAGAGCCACGCCCACCAGACCCCGCCCCTTCTAGGAACTCGCTCCTCGTTTTCTTCCTGTGCTGTGGGAACCCCCGCCCCACCCCCATTCTACCATTTAGCCCCAATTTTCATGCTATAGGTTCCCCCCCACCCTTATTGACGCTATTTTCTCCCGTGATCCCCTGGGGATAACCTGGGGACCCACAGGACACCATAGGGCTCCCTTGGTTGAGAAGCGCTGGAGTTACACTGTCCACTGAAGTGGCCGCCTGTGTCCGTTTCACGGAGCTAAAATGAAATCTCAAAAGCTTGGCTTTTTCGGTCGCCCCGACCCAAACTGCCTCCTGTTAAGCAGGCAAGCAGAGGGACCGGACCGACCGGGAAGGGCTCGAGTGCGTTTTCTAGCATCGCAGCCCAGGTCTCCCTGAGTCCGCAGCCCCGTCGCCGGGCTCGCTGGAGGGGCGTCGGCGGCGTGGGTCGGGGGGGGGGGGCGCGGACTCTCATGTGCCCGCCTTTCTGCTTGCCGGCAGAGGAGGGCATCGGCGCGGGGACCGAGCTCCGGAGCCCGTGCGAATGCGACAGCCTCGTGGAGTTCCAGGGGCGCACGCTGGGGGCGCTCGAGAGCCTGACGCAGAGAGATATCCTTTGGGGGCATGGGGCTGGGGGCGCGGGCTGGAGGGGGGGTCGGAGGGACCCCACTCCCCCCGAGCACCCATGTGCCTCCCTTGACTGCGCACTGGCCCAGCTGTCGGCGCGCCTGGAGGATCTGGAGAACCAGCTGGCCACCCAGAAGTGAGGGCCTGGCAGCCTGGAGGCCGGGCGCGTTTGTGTGGACGGTGCCCCCGGTGCGCCGCCGCAGGGGTGGGCACCACCTGGGTCCCTGGGACCGCGGCCGTCGGGGCGGAGGCGCTGGCCGGCTCCCGGCGCTGTGCTCGAGCTGGCCCCGCCGCACCCGGAGGCGGTCTGCGGGGGCCCGGCGGCGTGGATGCTGGGGGCTGCACGCCCTCGCCGCGTGCTGCGCTCAGTTCTTTGTTGGACTCGTCTGTGTTTTCTTTTTCTTAAAAAAAAAAAAACCTAAAAAAATCTGGTTTCCACGGACTTGGTTTGTGGGTCTTGCAGTGCGGCCAGAGGGAGGGGAGGTCAGACGGAGCGCTCCGGTGGCGCCCAGGCGCCCAGGCGGAGTCTCGGTGCAGAAAGGCGCTTTGTGCGGGGTCGGGCTGGGGGGTTGGGGGGCTGGGGGCCTGGGGGAGCAGGGGGGGCAGGACGCCGGGCGCTGCTCGCCCCTCCTTGTTTATTCAGCGGAGAACAGATGGTGCCTTATGCAGGCTGTGGGGAGGGAGGGGGCTCAGCGCGAATCCTGGGGGTCTGAGCGAGTCTGTGCCCCTCCAATCCCCCAGCAGAGCAGCGCTCTCTGGCCGCTCTGCCCACCCCAGTCGGATACCCGATGCTGCGGCACCTGGGTAGCGGTGTTGATAAGGACTTAGGAAGCACTGATTGAGCCCCTAGCCGGAGGGTCCGGGGACTTGATAGCGAGTTTCCAGGGAGTTAACTCTCCCGTATTGGGAAGAGGCTAGTCGCCCTGGTGATCCCCTCCCTAGACTGTTCCCGTTCTCAGTTCCCTCTCCAAAGCAAACAAATCAACAACAACAGACCTATGTCTGCCCAGGAACCCACTATTGAGGACCACAGAGAGTGGCTTCCTTTCCAGAGCACAGGAAAGAAATGCAAAGACCTCAAGTTTCACCTGCTCCCAGGCTCAGCTCGGGATGAGAGGATTGCTCTGGGATTGACACCTCCTGGGGCTGGCTTCCATGGGGCATGGTTACTCCCAGGAGTGAAGGCAAGAAGCCGAAACTGTTTGAAAGCATCAGAAACCTATTCAGTTCTCAGCCCTAGGTAAATACTGGGAATAACAATAGCCAGTATCTTCCCTCTGGGGCTGGGACTGGGGCTGGGGCTGGGACGTTCTTCTCAGTGACTTGCACACACTTTGATCTGCCCCACATCCTTGTTTGCACCCCCCCCCCCCCTTTACAGCCCAGGAAACCAAAGCAGTGAGGCCTAAGTGGGGATGGCCCTGTGAATCAGTGTTCTGTGGATGTGTGGCATCTTAGCACACATCTCATGGTGCAGAGAACACACACTTACTACGACTTTTGGAGCTCTGGAGTTTAAAGTGGATCCGCAGGGCTGATTCCTTCAGAGGTTTCTAGTCCTTGCATCTCTCAGCTTCTAGAAGCTTCCTGAATTCCTCGCCCGTGGCCTGCCTCTCCTGCAGGCATCTCAGCTTCTTCTCTGGCTCTGCCTTCCAGTCTCTGTTTCCTAAGCCTGTGATTGATTCCATTCCAGATAGTCTTGATGATCTGTCGCCAACTCTGGAACTCTGGCGAGGTGAGGTACACGGGACCCTACTTGTAGTTGGAAGAACATCCTTCAGGCGAGAGGAGGGAGTGAAGGTCATGCAGAGAGAGGAATCCGGGGGAGATCTCACAGGTGAATGGGGCAGGAGTGTGGTGTGGCAGAACGTTTGAGGTCTAACCTCGTCAGATGAACTCAAGTGCTAAGGTGACAACTGGCAAGTCTCTGGCAGCCCCTCGAAGCAGAGTTGTTCATGACCGTATGAGAGCAAATCCCCAAGGCAGAGTGGAGGTCCACTTAGTTCTCATCTGGTGAGATGGCACCCAGGGCAAAGGTGAAGACTGCAAAAGAAATCCTCCTTTTCCTTTTCTTTTTTTTCCCTTCTTCTCTAATCGGCTCTTTTCTCCTGCAATTTCCCTAGTGGCCACTAGAGGGCACTGGGCGCTTTGATTTGGAATTGATCCTCGAGCCCTGCCAGCTCCTTAAGGATAAGGATAACCCTTAAGGTTAACCTCTAGTTCTGCAGACCCCACGACCCCAGCCTAGGGGCTGCTTCTGTTTCTTTAGTACTGGACACTGGCTCATGTCCCATTTGCTTTGCTCCAAAGCTGTAGGGAGGATCAGATGAGACCAGGTGAGGTGGAATTGTTTCCTAGTGGGCAGAGCAGAGTGCCAGCCCGGCCAGCTTTACCCAGGAACTCCCAGAATGTGTGTTCTGAGACAGTCCTAACCAACCTGTTGCTTCATAGCCTGTGGGAGAGGGAAGCGAGCTGTGATTTCACACCCCCCACCCCGCAAGATCAAATTCAAGAGCTACTGTGGTGGCAAATAAGAGTCTCCTTCTCTTCTTCATCCTCCATTCCCAGCCTTCCTTCGCCCCTCCCCCACCCCTCTCCCACTTCCTGTCACTGGCCCCAGGACTGGCTGTACTTCTTCGGATGAAATAAGAATACAACCAGTAAATCAAAACCTTTGTATTCATGTTTATTATAAAACCAATCAAGACTCCTTGTTGAATCTTAAACCTCACAGAGGCTATCGAGTGGAAAAGAATTTCCCCGGGTTTTCCTAATCCGCTTCCCCAGAGGTAACCCGAAGACAATCGTTTTCTTGTGAGCTTTTCCAGATACTTCCTGCACTTGAGGAGACAGCTGGTCCAGTGCTGCTAGGGTTGGAATCCCATGTTTGTTTCTTGCTGAATAAATCGGACAAGTGTCTTCTACTTTCTCATCGGTTAAGAACATCAGTTAAAAGCCAAGTTAAAAACAGCACCAAGGGCACACAGAGTTGTGTAAAGCAGTCAGAGCGTCGTGAATGGAAGCAGTTAGCGATCTCAGCATGTGTTTTTATTTCTTTTGGAAAAAACAGAATCATGGTTGGAGATTCAGCATAGGGATTTAGATGCCAGTCTGGCAAGATCAAACCAGACTCTTGGTTTAATCCCGAACACCGGCATATGCTTCCTGGAGTATGGCTGGGAGTTATCCCTGAGCACAGAACCATACATCAGTCAGCCCTGAGCACTGCTGGGTGTGGCTTGAGCCCCCCACCATACCCCTAATGGAATGAGGGGCCCTGGTGATGGCTCAGTGGCAAAAACACCTGTATTATAGGGAAGTAATGAAAGTAAAATGTGTCCCGTCCCACGGAACTAGTCAATGTGGGAAACAGAGGGTGCGAGAGTGAAAGAGACAGACAGCAGGGTTAGAGTATAGTGAGTAGAAAGATGCTTTATCGTAAATTCAGGGTGTTTGCCTTGCGTGCAGCCAGCCCGGCTGAGCCAGGTTCGATTCCTCTGCCCCTCTCGGAGAGCCTGGCAAGCTACGGAGAGTATCTCGCCTGCGTGGCAAAGCCTGGCAAGCTACCCGTGACATATTCAATATGCCAAACACAGAAACGACAAGTCTCACAATGGAGACGTTACTGTGCCCGCTCGAGCAAATTGATGAACAATGGGAAGACAGTGTTTGTTGTTTTGTTTGTTATATACATTGAGCTTAAGTTTTTTCCTCAAAGCTTTGGGACAAAGGCAGATAAGGGTAGTCATGTGACAGATGGGGGAGATAACAGACTATCAGGGGCTCTTCAGAAGGCTACTCGTTAAATCACAAGCTGACATAAAAATGTCATGTATTGGTTTTTAGTTTCTATTGGCCAAGAGACCGCTCACTACAAAAATGCAATTTAAAGAAGTTGTCACTAGCCTTAAATGAGGCCAAAGGCATGAAGGAGCCCCTTTGGAGAGGGAGAAACAGGCGTGATAAGACTAACGGGCACCACCCACAAAAGGGTGAACACCTTTGGCAAAGCAGAAATTCCAAGAGGAACTAAAGTCTGTGACAGGGGAGAGCGGAGGGCAGTTAGGATAGGGAAGGGAACAGTATGACAAGAGTGGTCAGAAGTGATCATTCTGGATAAGAACTGAGTGTTGAAAATAGATAAAAGGATTTATATACAGGATAACCTTTCACTATCTATATTGTAAACCACAACATCCAGAAGTAGAGAGAGGGGAGAGAGAAGGAGGAAGGGAGGGAAGGAGGGAGGGAAGGGGGGGAGAAAGAGAGAGAGCAAGAGAGAGCAAGAGAGAGAGGGAGGGAGAGGGAGAGAGAGAGAGAGAGAGAGAGAGAGAGAGAGAGAGAGAGAGAGAGAGAGAGAAAATGTTTGCCATGGAGGCTGGTAGGGGGTAGGGAAACTGTGGACATTGGTGGAGGGAAATGGGGGAAATGTACATGGAACATTGTATGACTGAAACTCAATCATGAGCAACTTCAAAACTGTGTAGCTCACAGTGATCAATTACAAAACAAAAAAGCTCTGTGAGGAATGTGAAAAAAAAAAAGCCATCAGGAATACAACCTCTTCCCCTTGACAACACCCTAGGAACAGACTCTCTTTGCATAGAGGGAGGTTTGTGGCCACACTAGGCTACTACTGGTGGGCTCAGGGGACAATCATCTAGATGCCAGAGATTGGACCTGGTCTGCTGCATGCAAAGCAAACGCCCTACCTGCTGTAGGGTGACTCCGGCTTCTTCTTCTCTGTACAAAAAGCCCCAGGGAGTACTATGGGAAAAAGCCCCAGAAAAAAGGAAATTGTAACGGCAGCGGCGTTGTCCCCTGGGAGCATGGGCGGCTGGCTTCCTCACCTTGGGAGTCAGCCACCTCCATGCCTGTGAAGGGTAATTCCTTCCTTTCACTTTCACTTCATGCCCCCTAAACAAAGCAGTTTCATTTCATAGTTGGTCTCCTCCGGAATTTCTTTTCTGAGAGATGGTGAATCTGGAAATCCGGGTGGTGTTGAAGTCCTTCCTGGTGCAGCTCCCTGAACACCTGGACTGTCGTGCTTGTGGGTGAGCTAGGATACTGGCCTAGAGGGAGGGCGAGCTATTGTCAGGGGAACCAGCATCCCCTGCAGATTAGCGTGGCTCCATGGCCTTGCTATCACCAGTGGCTGGGGTTCGAGATTAGGGAGAGCCGACAACTGTTGTGTCTGAAAAGCTCATAGAAACCCAGTGACACCTCGGGACACTCCGTTCCCTAGAAATCATCTTCCTCTTCCCGTCTCATGATCAGCATATAATGCATCCCTTTCTGCCTCTCTATATGACCATTACCCTCCCCAATAAATGCTGTCAAATGACCATCAGTCTGTGACCTGCGTGGATGTTATCTCTCGG